GAAGTTTAGACAATTGTTAATTGGAAATCAATTTAATGGTTTAATGTTATAATTGTACATATAATATACTAAATAATCGTCAGTAAAGATTATTACGATTCAACATAATGATTAAGATATACAATATAATATACAGTAAATAAATATGCACTCGATTTTAGTTTCAGAAGATTTTGTAATTCCTACCAAAACGTAATCTAGTTAAATAACACCGGAAGGAAATAAATTTGAAATTAATTGTACAAGACTTGTAGATATTGTATTAATTATTTCTTATAATTATTGATTAATCTGTAACTCAATTTCCGTACTACTATTTAATGAGTTAATAAGATTTATTTATTAATTATTACGCCATAGATTTTTGACTTTATTACGTAAGCTTTACTTTCGGAGATAGGTATACGGGTATCTGTGTTCTTAACATACAAATATATACTGTTATCAACCAAGTCCAGGGAGGTGAAAAATTACATTTAACATTATTTCAACGATTGATTTATTACAGGTAAGTAAATTATCACCTTTTACTCTTTTAGTGTTCGCCTTATTAAAACAATTTTGATATCCCACTGGCATTCGAACCCAGTACCCTTACGCATAAAATCAATGCAAATATAACTGAGCCACGTTTGCTGGTATTTATATTACGTATTTCACTTCGCCGATGAGAAATTAATAGTATTTCCTTTCACATTTGTTGGTATAGGATATAACCGTTTAAACACCTATTAAACATTGAGATTACATTAACAAATTCTGTGTGTAACTACATACATCCTCTTGCGGTTTTTATCTCATAGTAGGTGTCACGTTGACTAATTTGCATTAAGATTATTAGACCGGATAAAAGCTGATTATATAAGTTATTGCCTCAACATTTAGACATTTTCTATACCACGTCCATAGGTTGGATGTAGGAAGGGCAGTTGTAAATTTGCCGCCAATTTTAAAAAACCGACAATTGCCATATAATACTTTAGAATACCAAAGAGTTCTAAAACAGGAAATCAAATTTTTTTTATTAACAATCTTTCTAACTGGCCAGACCTAAACATTTTCAGCGTTACCCACGTCGAAGGTCAAGTAAGGCATGTGTCATACACCAAGAGAATTAAATAGATTAAATCTCATGAATACGAAATGTAAATGTAAATAATATTTATGTTGCCGCTATATAAAATTAAAAACAAACAGAATAAATAATAAAATTAAGAAGGTCTTATGTATTATTCACTTATTCGTAAATTTTTGACAGATAATGTTTCGAATCCTCCATGTTCCGAGGCTCGTTGGAGTAATGGTAGCAACGTATGGGTCATCAACGGGTCATATGTCCGATCCAACCGGGTCTAACATATGTTTAATTAATTTATATTTTATCTGAAACATGTTGGCATTCGTTTCGAAATGTGGATATTAATTGGGTTATAGGAATATTGAAATTCTGTCCCCGTCACGAACCACCGTCCCCAGATAAAGCCTTTAAGATTAATCGCGTTTCGGTTTCAGTCTATGGATTTCCGAAAATAGGTCGATAGCGCATCTTGTTCATATGGCTTGTTTATATTGGATATTATAAGGCTGGGGTACTTTACCTACCATAAACTGAATTCCTTGTTGGATGTCCTCCACTATTATAAAAAAAATACACGCGTAGTTAGCCGGCTGTTGAACGCAAAGTTATCACTATGCGGGTAACTAGGTCTGGTACCTCTAAAACTAGTCCTACGACTTCTTTCTCTAGACTGAGTGAAGGTCGCACGCGCAACTTTTAAAAAAATGGCGGCTAACCTTCTGAAGATATATGTGCCTGAAAGATTTTACCATATTATACAACTACAACAAATACCATATATAGTACAACAGCCCTAAAGGTTTTAATATCATAATAAAAAAACAACAATCGTTTTGTATATATAGAAAAAATTGCAAGTGACCCGTCCAAAAAATAAGAACAACGCCGTTAAAAAAATAGGAACACAATTATATACCTGCTGGAATGTTAAGTAATATTTTTTTTAGATCTACAGACTGATTATAAAACAAGTGTTTTTTTACATAAGTATGTATCGAAAACACGGCCTGGCCAGTGTGCAACAAACGGAAACTGCCTTCACTCTACAACTGGAATTTCACCTTCACATCGTATCAGAGCCTAATCAAAATGTTAACATTAACAGCTAAAATCGTGTACCTATTTCAATAATTACGAACGCTTACACGCTAATAACATTACCGGGTTTTTCTAATAGGAGTGAAGTAATAAATTATCTTCTAATAAAGGCTTTCAAGCGCGACTTCCCTTGCATATTACCTACTAATATTTAAATTGAAAAGAATAACGACTAGGGCAAGACTTTAACCGGCGATCACAGCGTTCCGAGCTGTTGGTCTAACCGATTGAGCTACGGTATCCTGCCTACTTTTTAGTTGAAATTGAATTAATTACCCTATGATTTGATGAACTTGGGCAGCTCGGTAAGGGCGTAAAGGAAGGACAAATAAAACGAAAATTCGATGTATAAGCGCGGCAATAATTCAAATAGATATTCCCTATGTAGGGCATGTTTGTTTATTATGTTAACAGACAAGAACTTGTTCCTTGCCTGACTAACACCATTAATTTTCTCCTGGTTTTTAACGTAGGAGTTCTGACGCTTTACAAAATGCTGAGATACTACTAGTTTTACCATTGAGCCAGTGAGTATACTCGTATGTAATTAAGAAAAGGGATAAATAAAACAAGTCATTATCAAGGTGCACATAACACTTATATTTTAAAATAACGTGATAATGACAAAAATAAACATTTTTAAATTAAAACAACGAACATAATACATTAATTAAACGTGAGATAAAACGACCGCATCTTAAATAACAATTACCAACTTCTGAACGAATTAGGTACAATGAGATATTCATTTACAACTTTCTAACGGTTTCAAACGCGATTTTAACTTAACGAACCGAAAGTTGGAAGCGGGTTGTAATGTGTCGTGTGCATAAGCCGTGTTTGAAACCGTTAAAAATGTTTCATTCCATACACTCGCGTAAACTACAGACAATACTTATTAACTTCTATATAAATTCTTTAATGGTAATAATTTCGAGTACAGTCAGTTATCAGAGTATATTTATATTATTTAATAAATATGTTTATGTTATTGGTCGCTATATCATTTCAATTTATAAAATAAATAAATCGAGAGCCGATCTTCTCAAAACGAACTCATTAAATACCTCATTTCTTACGGTATTAAAAACTTACGGATAATAATTTAGATATTGTAATTCTATTTATTAAACCGCTAAGCTGCCGTGGCGTAATCTTCACCGAATTATGGTAATTATCATCCATATTTCACGTCAAGTGCAACTTTGCAGCTATATTTAGTGCACCGACATTACAACACACAATTACAATATTACCCTTATCGCGATTGTCTTTTATAAAAATCAATTTTAATAAAATTCACATTTAAAAAAATCTTCTACACACCTTACATGTGTGAAGATGTAGATTCGATACTCATTATGTACACGTCCACTTTAAAAACAGTGGTTTTCCCGTCAGAGATCACAAACACTTAAACAGCTTTTTATAAGTGTTGGTGACATCTGCCTTTTCCTGTTACTATCAATGTCGTATTCTTGAATACAGTTAAATTTTAATCTCATTAAAATTGCATACGAATAAAACTTATTTTTCTTTTGTTTATTCAGATTTAAGGCACGCATTTAGCTCCTCTGCACTGGTTAGGCCAATCGTTAAACCGAGGGGACAGCGAAATCTTTTATTCGTATTTATAAGCCCTTACATACATTATTTAGCTTGGTAAAGGAGTTGAAACAAAATATAGATAACAAAGTTCATTCTCTGCAGACTGAGCTATCGTGTCGCCCCTATGACTAGCAGCGTCGAGGTTTCCAAATTATTATATCAACAGTATTGTATCGTGACGGGTGGGTTCGAATCCTGTCCTTTTTTCAAATATTTTTTTCAAATCTCAAGTGTACGACCGGCAGCCTTCTCATGACAAAAGTCAAATATAATACTTCTAGCACACAAACTGATAAATTACCATTTCACACATATCTAGAGAAATTATATAAAAATGTACATCTAATATACATATTGTTGGGATCCTATGAGATGTTAAATATTCAAAAATCACAACTTCCTTAGAGCCAAGGCACAGTATTATACCTACAGTAATGACAACATTTTGTCTTATACTCATCATGGATTACTACATTTTTCTTATCATATATTTTCAAATATATTGGATACTCCAGACACAATGTTTTTACTGAAATTACTATAATGCAAGTACTATGAAGTAAAGAATATAAATATGCACAGTGAACAACGAATCAAGACATAAATGTCCATGTTTTTTTTTCTTATTAATTCATAGCAAGATATTGTTAACACATTAATAGTAGCGGCCAAAGGAAATATTTAAAAAGGTAGTAATGAAAATTGCCCCGAGACAACCATTGTGTCTGCAGTACTTGCAAGCAATAATAAAACAGTTATTTGTTTTATTTAGCCTTTCAATATCGGGGTACAACCGCTTAGTCGCTATATCTAGCACATTGTAACTTATAAGAAACCAGATATTCATAGGAAGCTCGTACTGAGTAAATATAAAACGATTATAACTGCCAAAATGTCTACTTCTATACTGGAAAAAAATGTATGTTAAGGCGTTTCCACACTTTGTCGATCAGTACTTTAAACATTAGCTGTAAAACATGACTTTCAACCTTAAAAAATCTTTTAGGTTATTAGATTAGATATTTAGACATGTATAGTATGTTCCTACCGGTCTATAGATTTAGTGGTGAATATTGGTGTATTATAGTGTGGAATAACCTTAACTCCAGTCCATAAAACGTAGGACCTGTCAACTACATACCCTTAGATCTAAGGTCAGTTGTAAAATAAAAGAAAAACAATTCGCTTGCCTCCCGTTCTGACGACTCACCCTTTCTCACGTTGATATTCGAGTCTTCCAGACGGATGACTTTTCCGCTGGAAGAAAAGTTAAAGGTTAACAAATAAATGTTACAATATATGCGCCTGCGGTAAAAAATAAAGCTGGCTAGTGAAGAATCTATGTACTAATGTATTATTAAGTTGTTCAATATACTAAATTTTATTAAAAGTCGAACCATTCCTACGTAAAAGAGAACACTAGCTTTTTTTTATTATCTGTCAACTATTTTTGCATAAAAGATAAATGACCAACCTGTTCTATGAGATTCTCCGTTGATATGATGCCTCGGCACTATGTATTTCGACTCTTGGAACATAGATAGCATTACATCTTCGGTGGTGGGATGGTATTCGATCTCGTTGATGCTCGCCACTAAGGGGGAGCTTTCGAAGCTCCTATTTGAATCTCTGGTGGACGGCGACACACTTGATCTAGGCGGGATGTCCACAGATTTAGGCCTTCGTGAATCCACCGGCGTCATCTTAGGATTGATATGCACATCCTTATGGATGTAGGGTTCGTTCGGTTCGTTTTCATAATCGCTTAGTTCGTCGTTCGTAATTTTCGCGTTCACTTCCACTATAAGCGGTCGCTGAAGCGTAGGTGACTGGATGGTGCTCGCCGTAACTTGCTTCATAGGAGACGTGGAGGTAGATGTGTCTACAGTATTTACACTTTTAGCTGGCGATTGCGTACTGAGGTCTGACTCGGAGCCTTTAGGTGCTTCAGAATTTTCTATCTCCTCTTTAATTTCCGCCACTTCATTTATTGTTTCACCGGTCGGCTTATACCTCGGCATGCGCAGTGCCCAGTGGTCGTTGTCTTCTACGGTGCAGGAGTGGATGACGTTCGGTTTCTTCCGCTTATAGAACAGCATGTATGCTGAATTGTCGACGAGTTCTGCGTACGCGTTCTCGTCGTCGACGGGAGTAACCCGAGAGTCGTCGAATTTGTACCAGTGGTTGTCGTAGGGGTTTTTACAGGCTGCTGTATAATGTCCCGTTTCTAAATCATCGCCGTGATGATAGCAAATAGCGTACAGATCGTAAATGTTCTCTTGTGGATTACTGATGGTTTTGGAATGTCGCCGCCTTGGCGATCTTGAATTACCGGGTGATTCTGCGCTTGTTGTATTCCTTCGAACTAAGTGCGGAGTCATATCGAAGTCGTTTAGAGGGAATTCTACCATAGTAGTTAACTTCGTACTGGTTCGGCCTTTAGCTTGTCTGAAAGAAAATGTTACCAATTACCTATAGAATATGATCAGTTTAAAATATACCGTATACTTACGTAAATGTTATAAATAATTTTATAAATCTTTAATGAAACTTACTGACGAAATCTCTTCAAATGTATGACGAGTATATCGGGAAGGGACCAAAGGCCGAGTGTTTTTACAACCGGCATGTACCTCTGGCATTGCGGGCATCTAAAAAATAAGTTCTTAAATAAAAGTGTGGTACAAAGGGGAGTGTGTAAGTATTTGGTAAAATTTCAGTCAGAATCGAATTTGAAAATTGTAAAAGCGTTTATCGTTATCGAATTTTAGGAAAAGCTTCGGTTCAGCAGGACACAGAAGTATAATTATCTAAATGCCTGTATTTTAACTGTGTAAAGTTCCACATCCCCATAGAACATCATTATAACGCACGGTATTTTCAAAGAAGTCTTGGAAAACAATTTTAATATCATAATTATTACTAATTAATTAATTACTAGCAATACAACCATTTTCGAAGGCATATAAATAAAACGACAGAAATGTAAGAGACGTAAATAGTTAAAATGTATTACGGTCTCAAGCACGTAAGCGGCATGCTCTCGTTTCTAATCAACTTTTTAATGGTCTTGCGCGGACCATACTTGGTTAAAATGTTTATAGAATTTATAGTATGTACTGACAATAAAACTTAAAGACTAGAGTCTAGACCACGTTAACATTGCAACATTAAAATCGAAGGTTATTACTATGCAATTCGTATTAACATTAGCATTTCTAATTTACCCTTTTTGTCATAGCTGATTTAGTTACTGTAAAAACGGGTTACATTTTGTAACGTAATTGAGTCTATTAAGTTAAGCAAAACATTTAATATAATGTTGCAGCAAATATCAAGAAAACTAAGACTATAATATATAAATGATATACAGTCCATATATACCCAAATAAATAAATATTATGGATGAAGGGAAAAAACTACGATACATCGAAATAAGTGTGTTACAGTGTTACATCTATAATAATATTATGAAGCTAAAAAGTTTCTTTGTTTATAGGCGCTATTCTCAGGAACTACTGGTTCTAATTGAAAAAATATTTTTGTGTGTATTGGTTAATTTATCAAGGCAGGCTTTAGGCTATAAAGCATCAGGCTGCGACCAAAACGAGCAAAGAAACAGCGGGATACGTGAAAACTGAAAAATTCTCTTTGAGGGTTATCGTTGTGTGAACTGCGAAAACTGAATACCCAAGTATATGTGTAAAGGAATTTTCTTCTATAAATAATATAAATATAATGTCCAGGGCAGTATATGTCTATCTTTTAAGACTAACTTCATCAAATTTGTTCGAAAAGGCAAAAAACGTTTGCTAGTTTATCATAAGTTCCATTTAACTTATACTAAGTGACTACTCACTTAAATTATTAGTAACATTTAAAATCTACGGTCTACTACTTGGAATCTTGACACGACAAAGTAAATAAAACCAAACAAACTTTTAGCAATAGCATGCGTCTGGACTAATGCCGATAAATACTTTACAGTTAATTAGTCATGTAGGACTTATATAAAGAACAAAATGGAACAATACAATAAAATACGCTAAATGCTCAATAGTTACCTCCAAGCGTCCTCCTGCGCAAGATGCTCAGCACGCGTGTAGTGGGACAGACACGCATGCAAAGTAAGAGGCGCCGCCGCACCCGCAGCCGAAACGTGAACCTCGCACGCTTCGCCCCATTCGCGGATTATGCTACACGTATAAGACAATTGTCACCACTGTCCCGGTAAATACAAAAATCTATGTACCTTAACTAAGTTCAATGTATCATTAAAGAAATCTTATTGAACCAAGATGTTTTGAAATGACTAAGGCTTTTCGTTCAGACGTTTTTTTTGCATACGTCTTAACGTACACGCCATGATTCTACTGCAAAAAACGTATACGCTTATACGTGTGAATGGATCTATGTACGTTGTATGGTCATTATTTATACTACAAAAAATTTCAGGATAATGTCGTTTGAACGAAGCCTAAGACTGCTATTGCTTGTGCCTTCGCTAATGGACGGGATGGACGGGCTAAGTAGCTATTGTAAACTGCAGAAAAAGAAATGCACAATATGAAGATAAAAAGTATTTAAACAAAATAAATAGCTTTTTAACTACCCATTGAAGGCAACAAAGATTTGTTAAACAGGTGTAAAATATTTATGAAAATCCTGTTTAGTTTATAATAATATGAGTTTAGACTTAAATACCTATCCCTATGTACGGGGTCCCAGAGGAGTTCAAGCCTTAGATGCGGGTACTTGTCGTGAGCGCACAGCGCCTGCTCTACGTCCAGCGCAAACAGTGGGTGTGGTAGCTGGGAACAATATATAGCATCGTTAAAAACCTCATTTTTTATACATAACAGAGCCAGTAGCAAAATTACGAAAATATTACCCACAACTAATATAGCTTTAATACAACAATAATATATTTGACATTTCAAACCGTTATTAGGGTTTTATTTAAAATTCATACGACCAACAATAATGAAATAAAGGAAAAAATGCTATAACACTTTAACCAAGCTTATTAAAAATTTGTGCTTCTGTACTATTTTATTTTATTTATTTTTTAGACAGTAAAAACGTACCAGGTAAGATTATCAATTTTATGATAATTATTATTTTAAATATAAGTTTATCGTCACAAATAGAAATGAAACAATATTACATTTTCATTAAGTTACTTTAGTAACGACTCGATCTTAAAAGATGACTTACCTCTGGCAGCAAAAAGGCCGGGTCTCTCGGCCTCTGTGCCTCAGCAATTCTGGCTCGAAATATATCTGTGCCCTGCGCAGTCTCAAGCACCCTCTCAGCGACAACTTGGCACATCTCCTTTAACATGAGCTTTTGAAGGTCCTCGTAGGAGATTTCGCGTGGCACTTGCATAGCATATGGTGAACCTTGGAGAATATTTATGATAAACGATAGAAATGAAATGTATGTATTATAAATGACACATTTACATTAATAACTAACGCCAAGTAGTAGAAAATTACGTTATTATAAATGGTTTGTTATCTAATGAAAATATGTATCGTTTTCGAAACACCTGTAAATGTCTTTCTCCACAGACACTAAAATTTTCTTAAAATCCGTGAAGTTGTTTTCAAGTAAGCGGTGTATCAAAACAATGCCTTTTCTACGATCCTTTGCTTTGATTCTTTCGAACTTTACTTTAGAATTGAGTATGTAAACTTCTCACACAATTTAAAGCATCATTCTGTCAAGATCAATTCTACAATGAGTTTGAATAATATTAAGTTACCTAAGCAGCTACTTAGTTTTATTTCCTTGTTGGAATTACGAATCAGTAACCACTTTAAGCACTATCTGTAGTTTACGCGAATTCCACTTAAATAAAATACTTTTAACGATTTAAAACATGATTTTTTTAGGTTTTAAGCAGTGTCTACTCACCAAATCTTTCGCCTTCAAGCAAGTTAACCCATAATACAAGAAGGTACGGTGTTGTAGGGGTCTGTAAGAGCGGTGGAGCTTCCATACAGTAGAGGGCGCCAAAATCAATACCAGCTACTTCCCAACCGCTGCGGGCGTTGCACCAACCTGGTGCGCATTAAAAGAAAACTTTCTAAATTATCGTAATATAAATACTATATATATATTAACGATATAGAAAATATAAGATTTTACCTAATAAGATAAAAAGTCATGTATGTTTTAAATATTTGTTAATAAAAAATTATAGATATTGATAATATATACCTGTCTCATTGATTTCAGCAAGTATGATATGATCTTTATCAATGCCTGTGTCGGTATGCAATGAATTTCTTAGGTCATCCATGGTTGCAGTTGGCTGTAGTTCCACTCCAATACGCACTTGCCGGGGTTGTTGATTCACATAAACAACCTTTAAATGCAATTCAAACTTGTTAGAAACAAATAATTGTCTGAAATGTTATAAATTATATAAAGATTAAAACACTTTAGAAATATCGTGTCCAATATATGGGGTGGACAGATGTATTTCACTCCATTTCAGAGTCTGCCAATGTCTGTCTTGTTTGTGGCAATTAGGTGATTATTTTTATGTATGTATATTTGTGTATTTCCCTGGGATTTAGCAATTTAACTAAAATTTGTCATGGATGCGATAAACGCGTATTAAATATTAATTTTAACATAATTTTCATATATGTATAATATAATGTCTATATGTATCATGAGTCTGTATAAAAAATAAAAACTGTAGGTGGTACACTTCTACTTAGGAGTTAAGCCTTCATCGAGTCATCAATTATTTCAAAAGCTTTAAAGCATCTTCCCATGAGCTCATAAAAATTCTTACATTTACAGGCAGAGGTGATGGTTGTACAGTGACTGGTCGAGTAGGCAGCTGCACACTAACACAGTGAAATGGGTCAAATGTACAGGAAGTTCTTTCACACTTTGCGCATGTTAGTGCAGATCTGTAATATTAAACAAATTATCAATTTACATAGAAATCATAAATTAAAACAGCAACAGCAATATTTCTATGTGGAATATATATATACCTTAAAATATTATTCACTATTCACTCTGCATATTTATATAAAAACCATATTTCCATACCCTGTACATATTCATTTATTTTTATTTCTTAAGAGATATATCTTAATCGTAATGTTTAGACTAGTTACACCACAGTCTTTACGGCTTTTAACATTGGAAAAAATATTCACCTGTACTGAGCTTGAAAAACTGCTTGTACGAAGGAACTGTTACGACGCGCGTGGTTAGCCAACGTTTCCGCTGCAACTACCTCATCGGACTTCCCAACAGTATTCTAAAATTAAAAGTATTACAATATCCTTAAGGTAGGTATTTAAAAGTACGTAATTTTCACCTATTATTTTACATATCTTACTTTAATTGTCTTGTATTTTTTCTTAGTGGCCGTATTTAAGTCTTCATGCACTTTATCAAGAAGCCAAAATAGGAATTCCTGAGCATCATGTTGGCTATTTCCCTTATATTGAGTACCATGTCTTTCAACAGCGGCCTATAAAACAAGTGTCATCAATTCCAAGAATGCAGGTAGTATTAATACTAGAATTATACTTTAGTAAATGGTGCAAATCATTCATATTTAATATTTTAAAATTATTTACCTTAAAAGCAACACTCATGTCTGGTATATATCGGCATGACCATAATGCTTTGAGCAATGTTGCTAATTGCTCCGTCACCTCTCCTCGAGTGCCATATTTCTTTGAGTTGATTTTGTTTCTTTTTTGTAAATCAACCTGATAAAAATAGTTTAATTCCTTATTAGAATTTAGGATGTCAAAAATTATTGAGTATACAAAATAGGTATAGTTGAATGAAGTATTGTGTATTGATAAAAGACAAAAAATTTTAATAGCATAGGTTTTTAATTCAACAGATTGCAAATAACAAAGGATTGTTATAATTTAATAGTGTAATTAATTATACTGATAAGTTATCCTTTGGTATAACAAAAATATTCATTTAGATATGATTCAGCAATCAGTGTCCACTCACAACTTATAATAATAAACCTTTTAGTAAATATATTCATGAATAAATGTTGTAATTACTGAATATAGCTAACAATAAATAGATCTTGACCAAATTTTTTTCAGATAGCAAATTCATTATCTACCTATCAACCAAATAGTAAAAACCTTGATATAAATTTCTTACAAGGTAACTGTCACAAAACTTAAATCATAAATTCATGAATGCTAAATATATATACTTTGTGCTTCCGCAACTCTAATCAATAACTTATCAATGTTGTTATTTAGATTAATTTGGTTAGTTTATAAAAAAAATAATTGAGATTTTTTTTGTGAATCATAGAACATGTCAGTCCATTTTAACTGGGACATAATGAATCAGACTTGTGTGTGTGGCTCAATAATAATACTAATGCCATTCTGAGATTAGCTACAAAAGCACCTAGGACCTTTTTGTCATGCTTACCGAGCTCTGTGCTACTTGATGATTTTAAAAATTAAGCTACATAGACACTCAATTAACATATTATATATTATTAATCATTATAAAATTTAAAATGATGATGCAATATTAAAATTTGCAGAATCATTAGCATAATAATGATATAACTTAATTAGGTAAAACTAGTTAAATCACAGTAAGTGCCTAAATGAATGTTAAATGATGTAATTATCTTTTTTTAAATGTTCCTTTTCACAGACACTAAGGTACACAGACTTATATTAAAAATGTACCTTATAAAAATCCAGTACAAAATATTCTGCTATTACATCTGTATGTGACAGACACTGTAGTACTGCATTCATATAACAAGTGTTGCCATGATTTTTAATTCCAGTTGCTGCTGGAGTACTACCAGGTGGCCATGGAGGTTCCCCACTCGATGGTACTCTATCACTGTTTACTATTTGACCGGATTTTACCTTAAATAAAGACAATATTCACATAAAATTCACTTACACTTGAAAAGTTTGAATATGCAAGATTATATAACTTACAACGGTGGTATTAACAGTACTCATATGCTGAGCTATTTTGTTTAAAAATATTTTCCATGATGGCCTTCTAAATAGCTTTCTTTCAATGCCACTCTCTTCTTTGTTTGTAGTAGACATAGAGTTTGCGCTTGATGGTTTATTATCATTATCGTTACTTTTACTCTTACTGGAGCTAGGTTTTGTTGTTCCAAATGGATTACGAGGTAAGGTAAAAGTTCGTTTTAGTCGGGATCCTTCCACCTGCTTTGATGTCATATTCGTTTCAGTGACTTCACTTATTAACTCACTCTCTGAACATGATTTCAGAACTGATGATAAATTACTAATAGACATATTAAAATATAAATATAAACTAAATAGGTAAAAACATTTATAGATATTAAATTTTTATAATATGATTAAAATAAACCATAGAAAGGTAAAAACATTGAAACTTGGATTGATAGATGCAATTTTCGACAGTATACAGTTGTCATCCAACTGACAATAGACCACAGATATATAAAGCGTAGGTTTGTACGTCACAAGCGAGTAATAAAACCACAGATTTACCGCACTCAGCTTGTCGGTCGTAAGTTTAAAATTAATAGTATTCAGAATTCTCCTGTATGACTTTATAGTAAAATTATATAATACGTTGATTGAGTAACATATACAACATATACAAAGCTTTTAGTTTTATAACAAAAAAAATTACACTTAAGTTGTTTTTTATTACAGCAGTGACTGTGAGTACCGTGTTCAACTTCATAAACTGTGGCAGTACCGGCATCACGAGCTGAGAGAGCTGTCGTGTGTCATATTAGATAACATAATGACTGCTGACAAATTCTAGGCAATATAATTCGTAATGCTGTTCGACGTTCCTAAAAATCACGCGTAAATGTATGAAAAGACTGTTACATTGCAACTTGTGCATTTTATGACGTATTTGAAGAATGTTTAATTATAACTTATAGTTTATAATATTGAGAGAGATATTTATATTTGTGTAAACTATGAAAACGTAGTGTTATTTTATTGTGCTGTCTTAGGTAAACGAATTTTGCACGGTCCGCAATTTTTAAGAAAAATAGCTACTGACAGCGGCTTTACGGCGTTTCCTACGATAAATGTAAACATCCGATTGTGTTTAAAATGACTACGATTGAAAAATTAAAACTTCTCATTTGGAAAAATTTTCTATTGCAAAGAAGACACAAATGGCAAACAGTTTTCGAAATAGCGTCTCCTGTAGTATTCTCTTTATTTTTGATACTCATAAGATGTCTCGTCGATCCTCAATCAAAAGCAGGTGTATCATACCAACCATTTCTTCCTACATATTTCAATATGAGTAGCAGACAGCTGTAAGTTCTCACATACAATTAGACTGTTCTATTATTGAGATAATATTTTTAAAATCAATATTGCTTGTAGGGGAAATTTAACTTCCGCTAAGAGAGAAGGTACACTTGCATTTTCACCAGAAAATGCTTTCATAAGAAATGCTACTAAGAATGCAATGGCAACAGTTGCTTTGGATAATTTAGGATTTCTTGCCCTTCTGTTTGATACTGGGATGCTGCCAGAACCAAAAGGATATAAGGATTCTCATGCCTTAGAAGCAGCACTAACTCAGCCTAATGCTATGACAAAAATTCTTGTTGGAATCCAGTTTAATGACAGTATGGCTAGTAAGTATATCTTTCCTTAATTTTTACTTTAATATATGTGACGTGAAAATTGGTGATTAAAATATTATATAACTTAATTTAAAAAATATGTTTAAATAACGTTATAATTACTTAAATATTAATTTTACATATAAAAGTTTCTTGTTTAACAATTATATGTTATTAGTAAATGCTATCTGAAACATTTGTCTTTTTGTTTCTTAGATGCTACAGAGTGGCCTGATAACATAGATGTGACATTAAGATTTCCAGCAGTAATGAGGACACCAATGATAGATCACCCACTAAGATTAAGTTGGAGGACAAACTTATTATTTCCATTATTTCCCCTGCCAGGCCCAAGGGCTCCTGATGATATGTATGGTGGTCAAACCCCAGGTGAGACAGTTTCTTAGCGTCTGTGTTGCATGACATTATATATCTCCACTGTTGACATAATTTTGCTAAGCTTTGCATAAGAACTTTCCAGAGAAGCAGTTTTAAAATTTCTCCTCAGTGATCCTTTTATACATTTTCTATTTTTAATTGGAAATAGCAATATACAACGGAACATTAGAAACAAACAAATGATCACAATAAGAACAGCTGTCTGTCATTTACGGTTCCTGTTTCGTAATTGAAGTGCGTTTTACGTAGCGTCTTAAAGCGTAACAAAATTGGCCGTATTTTTAATTATTTTACATTTAGTTATAATATTTTATTTCGAATAAACTAATATATGTGATGACTTAATTAAAATTTAAAGATTAATTTGCCAATATGTGAAATAACTGAAGTAGTGGTTGTGGTGTGTAACGAAATAAAACCGCTCTTATTCGCATCGAATATCGTCATTTCAGCCTAGATCTTAATAAAGACATGGTGTATTTGTTGGAAACTTGAATATTTTTTTAACGCTTACAATGCGAAATCTATAAGTTAACAACCTTTTTTACAAATGATTTTAACTACGGCCCGACATTTCGAGTGCTTTGTAGCAGCCTAAATATCGGTTACGGGGAGTCCGAACGGGAAAACGTCGGGCCGTAGTTAATTTTATTTTTAATTTTTATATCGCCCTTAAAGCCGTTAAAAGTGTTTTATTTAAATGGTTTCCCTAGGGTATTCTCCCGAAATGTTCTTGGCAGTGCAACATGCCATATCTCAAGAAATAATCAAACAGAAATCGGGAAAACCAATAAGTACGACGATATATTTGCAAAGATTTCCACAAGGACCCTATAGAAAGGACGACCTACTAGTCGCGATGGAGAGGTTCATCTCTATGATAATTATGCTATGTTTCGCGTACACATTCGTCAACACTGTACGAGTAGTGACCGCCGAAAAAGAACTACAACTAAAGGTTTGTTTACTTCGAATACGTTTTTATAATTGTCGGAAATGTAGATAGCCATATCGCAAGACATTCATTTATTACACTTAATTTTACCAATATAACATAACATGTCTTTTAGAAAAAATAAAAACGCAACAAATCTATCTACATGGCATCGGATTAAAAAGCGAAATATATTTTCTACTTGATTTTGTTATTATTAAAACCAATGAAAAGCCTAAACTAATTCACGTTCCATTTTAAACTGTTAAAAGTGTTTTATTTTATTCGTACCACTCGAATGAACTCAAATGTATATTGTCATTTTTGAACTTTGTCCGTACATATCGGGCTAGTTTGTGTAATGGTTTGTCTAATAAATCAAAGTGGGGGTCGTGTGTTAAATCCCCACCGAGTCCAACATTTTTCTTATCAATCTATAATTTTTCTAAAACACTTTGTGTCTTTCATTCTGGTAGAATATGGTATATTTCATTCTGATAAAATGGGTGGTGGAATATTGAAATTCCATCCGGGTTACGAACTGCAAATGAAAAGGCTGCGAAATTTAATCGGATTCAACATGGTACATCTCGTTTAGATGTTACATGGGTTCATAAAACATATATAAATATTTTATATGTTAAATGCTATGAACGGTTGAAAGTACTTTAAAAAAAGTACCGTGACGTATTAATGAAATTCCTAATTAGCTCGACTAAGTACGTATGACCTTAACAACAAACCATTGAAAATATCTTTTCTTCTCTTTAGTTTTCTTTTACTTACGCAATAGTTTTGCATTCGCGCTGCCACTAATATATGTCATAATTATATTTTTTTAAGTTCGTTACAACTTTTTCACAATATTTACATGTTTTGGTAATACTTGTTATCTCATAGGGACAGACTGAAAATCAGTGCTTACCAAGCCTTGCTGAGCATATGCTGAGTCTTGATGCCTTTTAGCACAAAGTTAAAATTGTCCTTTTTTTGTATTCTTTTAATTGTAAGGTTTCTTTTTTATTACTTATTTTAATTGTAAATTATGTACTTTGTGATAATAATCGGATTATTTATTTATTTAAATGACATCGTAAATATAAGCCTTAAGTTCTCCTCATAGCTAAGTCTTAACTCTTAATATAGCGTTTTGTACTGTTTTTATTACAGTTGTTAATTCTTCTTGTTTTCTTTTTAGGAAACTATGACAATAATGGGTCTTCCATCATGGCTACACTGGTCGGCATGGTTCATAAAGCAGTTCTCGTTCCTTCTTATATCCGTCGTGCTTATGGTTATATTGTTTAAGGCAAGTTTATCGTCAAAATGTATTTATTTTTCTGTGGTAAATTAGTCTTGCTTAGAAGGGTAAGTTTACCGTACAAATGACATCTATGACGTAATTCGAGGGCAAGCTTGGGGTAACATTTAACTTACGCCATATTAAAAAGGGGACTAATGATGTGAAAAATTTCGAGAAACAAAATTACACAATACCTTTTCAAGTTTTATTATGACTGAAAATCCTGCATAAGAATGACTCAAATTGTTTTTTATCTGTGCCTTTTAAAATAGAAATACGTGTATTCAGAAAAAAACACACAAATAAAAAATATACATTGACAATTAAAACTTATTCTACAAACATACAAATTTAATTAAATATTAAATAAATACACCAATATAGTTGCCTCCGAAAAGGAAGCCACTCAACTACGTTAGGACTAATGTCCCAACACTGATATTCTGTGGCCCATCAGAGGCCAGACTAACTCAAGCGAGGCTATTCGACATTATTTCTATTATACACATAAACACTTTAAGAAATTACACTGATACTTCAAAAATTGTACCAAACTCATATAGATAGGTACAAACTACTTTCTGCATTGAGAAAAATAAAATACCTATTACTTCGCTCGAAGAATTGCTTGATAACTTGCACCTATTATTTATGATGGATACACGAGTGGCAATGACTCGTCAGCATCCAAAGTTCACTTATTCTGTGACCCAGCATATATGTAGTTAGATTTATACGCCCACTTAAACTGAGGCCTTGGTACTGCTTATTTTATCATTAAGTACTTATTTGTACATTATTGTAAGGCATTTTAAAATGCATTCAAACCTAAATTCTTAAGATACCGTACAGTATTACTAATTGGGTACGGAACCCAATAAAACCAAAACCGACATTTCGTAAGCGGTTTCTCTTCTGATTATTAATTAAAAACTAATTTTCACTATCACTACGCTTCTTTCTATAACTCTCTTGAAAATATCGCCTCTTAACCGGGTCTTTGACCTGAAATTTTAATTTAAAGTTGTATTTCTTTTTCCAAAAGCCATTTTGTTTTTGTTAATAATAGCAATTTACAACATCTTGAATCGTTATTATACCGTGGTTGCGTTGGAAATTATCCTTAATGCGCATCTTAAACGAGTTTTTCGATTTTTTCGTGTCAGTAATACCTAGTAATAGTAATAATAATAATAATACCTAGTATCAAGGCGAAGCAATATCTGTGTATAACCTGATATAAATGCCTTAAAAATGTCGTGGTGTTTTAGTAGCAAATACAGTGATCCTGAAGACAGCGTGAATTCGATATTTAGTCTCTATCAGAAACTATCGCTAATAGCATTATAGATATACCGCGACAAAAACCAAAGTTTTACTCGATAAGTCTTTAATTGCATGGCTTCAGATTACGACACTCGATTTTTCGCCAGCCCGAAAGTATATATTAGTATTATAAATTTAAAGTGTTAGTTTGTCTTTCTATGTTCTCTTAATATAGAGGTCGTAGCGAAAGGCCGGCATTTTGTTCGTTAAATATTGTCTCCAACGTATTTCAATCAAACATATTGCGCAACATAATCAATTCAACAGTTAACGTCACGTGTGCCAGTTAATTCAAACATTTGTCCGCAATAATTGTGCTCGTGTCATCTTTAATTGTTGTCCCCCATCAAACGTTTAAAACATTGTTTAAGCTCGGAGACAATACTGAAACGAGTACATCTTACAACTTATATTCAAAGTAACATTTACAATTTAGGGTTAAAACGTGAATTTTACTCTTATAATACTGTCTTTAAATTTTTATGAGAGTGTAAACCGCTCCGTTACGTATTACGTAATGCGTATGTAGAATCAATTCAAATAAAAACTCATTTATCAGAATAGTAAATGGTTAATATAGAAAATTTCTTGACTTTTGTGCATTATTTTCTGTTATTAGAAATATGCAAAGTATTAATTTATTTGAAATCTATAAAACCAAATTCGTGCTTAACGTCTATAGTATTTTCGTTTCCGGAAAAATAAACGAGCAGGAAAATGACACATTTCCAGGGCTCCGTATCGCAACAGCGTCAAACTGAACTAGAGTTCAAGGCTGATAGTTGATACCGTCACATCGACGCACATCGCGTTACGATCTATTGATTGTGTGTTAGCAATGAAATTTGTAAAAATACGCAGTTCCTCAAATCGAAACGAAAAATCACACAATAATTCTACTCACACATGCACTATGTGTGAGTAGAAACAACGTACGTACGTACAAAAATGATGAAAAAGGGGTAGCCAAAAATGCGTCCATAAGTAGTTCATCTGTTTTAATGTTTATTTACTGTCAACTTTATGACTGATTACGCATATAATCTGTTTTCTATAGATTCGAATAATCATTTAAGAGACACATAAGGTGGAGGTGGTATTCTCTGCCTTAATACTTCGACAAGTATTCCAACAAATTATCGATTATTTCATTATGAAACAACAACTTTTTGTTCACTAACGCTATGAAATATAGTCCTTTGACACATTTTAATTTTTAACGTTGAATGGCTAGTAATTTAAAGTCGCGTTTCTTTTTAAACTGCGTCAATGAAGCAAAAAGCGATGTATAAATATTTCCTAGTATAATCGATCAAGTAATGGTACCTCTATGTCATACATTCGGACTCGCCCCTCAATATGTATAAAACGGTTTTGTGCGTCACAAACAGGGGCATTTGAATTGTATCGCTGTTTAATAGTCAATTGTCACGATATGTTTTAAATATGAAGTTACTTTTCGCAGTATTCCAAATAAATTTAAAAATAAAATTTGTTTATTCTAAATTTATACTGCATTCACTATTCTTTTTCACGTAACGGGACTTTTTAAGGAAACATTTTTGGGAAAAGGTTTAGAAAGGAAACGTATTTGCGTGCAGCTGATAGATCGATAGCATAGCTTTCACTTAGATGCCCTAATCTTATAAAGTATCATTTGCGCTTTTGGTGCGTGAATTAAGTTTCATGCAATTCTTAGTAATCATGTCAGTTTTTAAATAATTAACCATCCATTAAAATAGTATGAATAGAGACGTTAACACTATCGTACATTATATAGACGACTATATTCTTTTGGAACTCGGTCTATATAGGATCTATCGATAATTTCTAAAAATCTTAGGTTTTATCTCGAAAGCGGAATACATTACTCATTGCCTACTTACAGTTTCGGTTACTGCATATATACTAACTTTATTAAATAAGTAAAAAGTCTACCATTTCTATAGAAAGTCTTATTTCTGAATCCAGACTTTAACATTTATGTGGTTGTTTCGCGTTTTATATTATAAGGCAGTAAGAGAATATGCCTTGTTGCAGATCCCCTTTAACGCGACTAAAGATGGCGAGAGGTATTCCGTATTCACGTACACGCCCTGGACTGTGCTGCTATTCTTCATGCTGCTATTCATAATGGCGTCGCTAGCTTTTTGCTTTATGGTGAGCGTTTTCTTTACGAGAGGTAAGTGCGATTGCGTTTATACATATAGAATACTAAAGCCATTTAAAATAGACAAAATTTACGGCACAGACGGGCTTCGAACCCGTGATCGAAGACACGTGATGCGCATCGGTCCAAATCGTTAGAACGTTATACACGGGCGAGACTCAAACCGAAGACCTCAGTTCAAATTTCCTAGAAAAAAGTTATTTAAAGTCTCGTACTATTATCGGATAAAATATATTTTATATAAATAAAAAGATTATTTGTTTTCAGCGAACACAGCGGCATCTTTCATGGGCTTGATGTGGTTTTCAACGTACTCCGCCTACTTTCTGACTCAAATGCTCTACGAAGATGTTAGCCTTCATACAAAGTTTCTACTTAGTTTGATATCGAACGCTGCCATGGGTTTTGTGTTGCAAATGCTGATAGTGTGTGAAGGGACGTCTCAAGGTAAATTGCTCGTGGTCTTTAAAATTATTATTTTAAAGTATTATATAAGAGCAAAAAGTAGAATATCTGATTTACGTCACAAGCTGGGAAAAAGTCTAAAACTTTGGTCTTAATCGACATCAGTTAACGTTTAACTGTTTAAAATATTAGAAAAACTATTGATTCATTTTGTTCTCCATCGTTGGGTGCTTTGTTGTCCTCCAACAAAATACAATAAATTGTACGAGGATCAATGTTAATATTTTCCGCGTGCAACGCAACGATTGTTGCTAGTATCTATAATTATATGGTCGTGACGTAAAGGCTGTTTTTTTGTTAAATAAATATTTTATCTTACGCGACGGGTAGACTAAGCTTATCGGATTCTACTTGAACTTCTCTCATCAATATAGATTAACATTTTAACTAATTAAATATAATAATTTCTAGTAAAGTAAATAAAAATACATATTACTTTATGCCATTTTTTGGTCAGAAATCGTCTAAAACGTGTTCTGTTAATGAAAATCAAAATTACTTATATCGTAACAGTGCCATTAGTGGAATTTTAGAATTGTGGATAATTACAGCGTAATCTTATGTATCGCTTTGTCTTTCTACGAATCGTGATGTAATATTAGTACGCGGTCCGTGCGCACTGTATGAACTTGTTTGTTTGTCAGCTTAAGGAAATCATATTGTTAATTTATGTTTGCAGTCTTACCAATATGTGTGAGTCATTTTTAAATGGCGTTGCCTTTGCGTTAGGAAGGTTTTGGGTTCAATTCTGTCGGACAGCACGGCACGCAAGTCTGATCACTTTGTTGGGCTCGTTGGCGTAATGGTAGCAATGTACAGCTATCATTACACCACCGATCATCAGAAATCAACGGTATGTGGGTTCGATCCCCAGCGGATCACATGTTGGACTTCGTTTGAAAATCTCGATATTAATTGGGTGAATATCGGCATTCCATCCGAAGGTCACGAATCACCGTCTACATATGAAAAAACAGTTAATTATAATCACGTTTCGGTTTCAGTCTGTGGATTTCCGAATATCCAAAGTTAAATAGATCGACAGCGCATCTTCTTTACATGCTATGGGCTCGGGTTTTCACCTATCATCAAGGGAACCCCACATCTGTCCTCTATCATTAAAAAAAGACTTATGTATCTAGATAAAATCGTTTCGAAACGTATCGTAATCGATTTTCTTCCTTAATATATGCCCGATACTCCACGTTGAAAATCACGTACTCGAAATAGCTGAACAAATTAAACATTTCGCTAATTACGATACATTACAATTCGCAGTAACATCAAAACTTTCACTCGATATCATGTGATGTCACACGATGTCCTTCGCAATCGTGTAAAATGATAGGTATGTTTACAAACGAGTTACAAGTACAAGCGCCACGCCCTGACTTCTGTTTAATATGAAGACAAAGAAAATAGAAATATTTAAATTTGACTCTAACCGAATCTGTGGTTCAATTATTAAACGCTTTGCGTGTTTTGAGGAAGAGGTGAAGCACAGTAGCTTTTCCCCTACTTGTCTGTAAATGAAAACGATCAGCTGCATATATACATAAACGCACTATTTAAGATAAACGGGTTTTAACTTCTCAATACAAATCAAGAGTTCAAGACCATCCCAATAATATTTAAGAATTTTGAAAATGTAATGAATAATAAAAAAGTAGATAATTTTGAAAACGCTACCATATCATTTCATATCTAACATCAAAGGTTGAACAAACGTACAAAGCGACATCTACATGTGTACGCGCATTAATAATGTATGAGAATTGATAATGAAATTGACACACTTTTCTCGTATCCAACTACGATAAGGTATCGCATAAAATACAAAACTTACCTTGAAATGTTATTGAACTTGAAAATTGTGTCAATAGATCGTATTATTATTAATTTAGATCAATTCTGTTAATATTAACGTAATATCTGATTCAAATAAAACACTTTTAACGGTTTAAAACGCGATTTAATTTGGCATATGCTACAGACAATATTGATTATTTAATTATGAAAAATCTTGTATAACTTATTGATTACAATATGTTTTAACGTTAGTACCGTTATAATATTCCTTTCCTTTGTTTAGTAAATATGTCGCTAAGGTTACTTTGAAACGGAAAACCCGGAGCGAACCGGTTGCACATTGTGTGCACGATATCTGTGTTATGCAAAGTAACCCAACGAAAATGCTAATTCACACCCTATGCCCTAATTTTTAATGCCACTCTATGCCGTAAAATACGTACTAGAAGAGCATTAAACTAACAGATTTGGGGTTTAAGTAGTAGATATTATTACGTTTAGATAGGGACTTTTCATTTCAATAAGTCTGCACTACGTAACTATATAATTTTATTATTGCTATATTAAGGGAACAATTTAATATTGATATTTTTAATGCGATTGGTATAGATTTACAATATTAAAAATTATCTTTGAAACTATATCATTTATAGTATGTATTTGCTTACAATTTTTTATAATATACCGTCCGTACGATTTTTTTAAATTTTTGTACAACACTTAAATTAATTATTTTTTCAATCGGTTTCCAATGGTTCTCGAGATTAACCATTCTTTCTTCTTCATTAATGTTCTAGTTAAAAATCCCGACAAACAAATTATTCACATCGTTGTTTTTGCTGGCTGTTCGGCCGACGTAAGCGATAAGAGGTTCTCGAACGTCGGCCGAACAGCCCGAAAAACAATGATATACTGAATGCCTTACACAATTTATAAAACACTAGTTGTGCCAACGACTTTGCCCACAAGAATCATTATTTTGGGCTCTAAATTTGTTTTTGCAAACCCCTTCATCTTTATAAACTTAAGCCGCTTCCCTTCCCGTCGTTCTTGCAAGGTAATCTTAAAAAATTGGCAAATCGCGTCGCGGACTTTTATAAAGACCATTTAAAGAAAATCATTATTTTTTTTACTTATTTTTTTAATATCTTGAACCGTTTTTGCAGCGTACGCCTCGGAAATCCATAATGATGAATTATTTTCCCAATTTTTGTCACATTTCTCTCTGTACGAAGATACTATTATACGCTTGTATTAGTCACAGCACATGTTTTATAGCCGATAGCTCGATAAATGCTCTAACCAAAACAAATAATTTTTCAATTAAAACCCCTAGTTCCTGAGATTACCGCGTTCAAACAAACAAACTCTTCAGCTTTATATATTAGTGTAGATTGTTTTGTGCGTGCAGGGCACAGAACTACTTACCAATTGTCTATATTTGAGTGAAATACACGTAAACGTATCGCAATAGAGAAAACGGGGTTGTTAATTTTTTTAATCTCCTTATTGAAACAAATACATAATTTCAGGTTTACAATGGAGTGAGATATTTACGCCCGTGTCATACCATGACGATTTCCAGCCAGGTCATGTTGTGCTTATGTTAATAGTCGACACCATAATATACATGACAATCGCTTTGTATGTTGAGAAAATTCGTCCCGGTAACTACGGAGTGCCGCTGCCCTGGTATTTTCCATTCACGAAGAGCTTTTGGTTGCCGAACAAAACAAGGATTGCGGGTAACTGGAACTTTCCGATATTAATTTAAACCAATCAAATACTTTAGATAAATATATTGAGGGTTTTTTTTCTAATGGACGTAAAGGAAATAGCACTAGTAGAGTTATAGATTTTATATTAACAATGGACAATAGAAGTTTTTTCATATATTTTTTGCTACACGACACAATAAATGAAAAAAAATAAAACGATATATAACACAGTTTTATCTCTGTCAAGTGATTACTTTTAGACTACTCCAGTTCTAGGATACAGAGCAATTCAGTGAAAAAAATTAAATCCGGTATTGACTTCTATGAATCGAATAAAACCCCATTTATTTCTTTGTTTATATATAAATATATTCTTAAAATGCCATAAGTATTATCCCATAGTTGTGGAACATTGACCAAGTACGCAAATACTGTGGTATGGGTTTTAGGGCAGCTCGTGTCATCGAATTTTTATTGAGGCTCTATTTTAAATACATCCCCATGTAATAATTAGCACGATAAGATCAACACGTGCAGTAAATCAGATTTTAATTAACTATTAATTACAGCGGTAACGTTGAAGGACGGTGTAGATCAAGAGTACAAAAACGCATTGCTTAAAGTCGTTCACGACGAGGAACCAAAAGGTGTACCGATGGGTATTAATATTGAGGTGAGCTACTTTTTATATACGCATGTATTTCAGAGAGAAACGCTCGTTCTCCTTAAGTGTGAAATCCCGTTTCCCGTTGTGGGGCACGGGGCTAAGACATATCTGTGTTCGTTTAATTAATCGGCTCTTTTACAGGCAAGTCTTTTCAACTGTGGCCTGCCCGACCGAAACAATTTATTGTTTCCCTGGATCTGAACCCACGAACTCTCGCGCTTAACGCGATGCTCGGCAGCACATTTATCCATCTGGCTACAAAGACCTCGCTTTTCTTAAATAGACATAAATCTTTTTTGATATTCCAAAAACAGTTACAGTACAACACAGTTTTAGTTTTAGAAGCTGCTATTAAAACGTTTACAATTCTTTTTTATGTCTTGAAAGTCATTTTTACAAAGCGTAATTCAATTTATGACCCGATACGGGCATTTACCTCCCTGTAGGTGACTTGATGGCCTTATCTGATTAAGGTATAGTCGGGTCAAGGGCTACACCCAATAGTTCTACAGTCTTTATACTCTTACTTGTCTGTTTCGGACCGAGATGTATCTAGGCGATTACGACGACCATTGCTCGCTATCGTACTCAAGCACCAATTTGCTTCTAAATCCCCTCTTGTTTGTGCTATGCGAGTTATTTACAAGCTGCATGTCGTTATAGACATTTTCACGTACACACTTGAAATAAATAAATACATACTTAAGATCTTAGATGAACCGAACATCATTTTTTATAAATTTGAACGTCTTTTCCTATTTTAATAAGTTTATCTTTCATGTTACTCAACTTCCAAAATCTCTATTTAAGGATTTGTATGTCAATTAAAAAATTAATAAATTTTTTAAATATATTTTTTAAAAAGATTTTTTTTTGTTTTATTAAGAAACCTCTATTTAAGGATATGTATGTCAATTAAGAAATTTAATAAATTGTATACATATATTATGTAAAAGGGGGGGATACAATTTAACCGACTTAAAAAAGGAGGTTCTCAAATCAATTCGAATATATATATTCTTTCTTTTGTTCTCAGTTACATGACTCTAAGAACATTACATGACTATATGCTAATTCATAACATTTCAGATTCTGTGGTTTTGTTCTTGAGTTGCTTCCATTGTTTTCATACATTATTTTTCTCTTTGAAAGATAACCATAATCAGTTAGCCTAGTTTTTCCTATATATAATAAAATCTCTTTTATTGAAATTAGATTACTATGAAAATTATCTAATCGCATAGTCGACCTTCAGTTGCAGCCGCGTATTAGAAAAAGATAACTATTAACCGACAAAATAAAATTTACGGAAATACTTATCTGAAAATAGTTTGTATTTCATGATAGAAGGAGGTCAGACAAGCATCTGGTTTACTTGATAGTAGGTGTCATATCCCAGCCATGTAAAATCTAAACAAGATGCGTTGTCGATCTATTTAGGCTTTCGGAAATTAACAGACTGAAACCGAAACGCGATTAAACTTTACGGCTTTTTCATCTGGGGCCGGTTCGTGACCCGCATTTCGATATTCCTACCAACCATTCTATTTCCACCCATTTAATTTTCGGATTTCAAAACAAAGTCCAACATGTTCCAGAAAAATTATAAATTGGTTAGAAACATATTGGAGCCGGTGGGAATCAAACCCACGACCCATTGTTTATTATTAGCCAATTACATACCACGTCTGGCATCTTTATCACGTATTTTTGAATTACTTGTGGGTATTTTTGGAAATCTCACTTGGCCAAGATTGCAAGGAGAGGTCAGGGAACGTTAAATGTGACAAAGCCTTTTTTCGATTTATACGTCTCGTCCATTGCACTTAGTTCAATGACCTTGTATCGAATTGTAAGTTGAATTCCAAACTACGCGTTGATACATATATATCATAGTAGCTTTTGTTTCTCAAAATGGCTTGTCCACTGAAAAATGATTCGGGTAATCTTTGAAGAGAGTTTAAAATTACTACTGCTAATCTGATTTAAAAGTAATCATTAGATGAATATTTATTATACAACGTATCAAATGTAACTATTTTTTGAACCTAAATTAAATAACATACAATATATGTGCGTTTCAACCTACAGTAGAGTTTATTTAGCCAAACTTCAACCAAATATCTACTAATACATTACTCACATTCGCTTCTCTTACTTATTAATATTATACCCGTGTTGCTTTTATATAATTTAATTTAATTTTTTTTCAGAATCTCACTAAAGTATACAAGGGTCGCAAAAAAGCAGTGGATAATTTAAATCTTCGAATGTATGAGAACGAAATAACTGTATTATTGGGACACAATGGTGCCGGTAAAACGACAACTATATCAATGTTGACAGGTAATGTATTGTTTACAATTAACAAAACGACTCACAACCGTTAATCTAAACGTATACACTAAAAACATGTTAGGTTTTTTTATCGAAAACCTCGCCTATTTTTAGTTACATAACCTGAATATTTACATAATGAATTAGGTTATTATTACTATTTATAGAACGTAGTACTTTGTAATGAGTGATTAAAGTATTATCACCAATGAAATAACACTGCGTTTGTGTATCATCAAGATACTATGACTATAATTAATAAAATATGTATGACACTATGTGAAAACATAAAAAGGAGATAAATTTTTGGAAGGATAAAATCGATGTAAAGTTGATCTCACGACAAAACGCTTACGCATTCTGTTTGATTTTTAAGCCTAAAGATACAAGGCTAGTAGATAGAAGGCACGCCACGAGTTCTTTTTATTCTAGATTTATTGATTTTTGTAGGTATGGTCCCACCAACCTCTGGAACGGCTACAATAAACGGATACAACATAGTCAACGAGACTGAATTAGCACGCAAATCTCTCGGTCTTTGTCCGCAACACAACGTGCTATTCCCAGATCTTACTGTGGCGGAACACATTATTTTCTATTCAAGGTTAAAAGGTGTCCAAAAGTCGAAAATTGACGATGAAGTTAACCATTTTGTTAAATTGTTGGAGTTGGAAGAAAAGGTTTGTCTTCCTTATATTACTTCTTCCTGCCTATGTTTTGTATTCAAGTTGGTTTAAATTAATTCATTTTTTCAACCATTAGTGTAACATTTTATTTTATAAGAAAGAGAAGTAGATAAACTGCCAAGTACTTAACAAAGTAAATAAGGAGCTCCAAGGAAACAGCATTTTCGTAAGAATTTATTTCCCAGATATCGAACAGTAATTTAATTAATACGCAATTTATTTTAGGTCAATTGACCGTGTGTGTATGACACGGCTTTAAAATTAAATGGAGATAAGTTTGGTTCTTGCTGAATTAATTATATGTACCAAGGGAGAATCAAACTTGATCGTCTTTTTGGCTTTGGCATATCGTGTATGATATTATTGCTTGTGAATTCGTTTTTGGTCGACAATGACTTAATAAACGGTTTACATGCTTGCATTCTTGGTGAGTTATAAGGTATCCATAATGTAAATAACATGTAAACACATTATGGAAAGGATATATTAAATAATGTGTATTTTATAAAAAAAAATAAGAAACCGTAAATTTGCCTATTTCAAGCGAATGACGGAATATCTTAATAATAATAAAATAGAAATGTCTAAAAATGATATTGAAAAGTCAAAATTTAATCAACACATGACAATTATGATGATAAATGAAAAAAATAAAATGTTATTCCAGTTGAATAATTTTTGATTACATCGAAATACGGCCAAAAAAGTAATTTGTGGCCTGCGACACTACGGAAAGTTTCATATTGTCTTTTTTCCGTATACATTTATTCTTGGACGAATTCCGTGAAAGCTTGGCTCAAGGAGGCGGGGAGGGATATACATATATATTAAGGAACACTTTTTTTTACTTTTAGATATATAAATCTAAAAGACTTGGTTATCTATATTTTATTTTATATTTACAGAGACATGTCCAATCCATGCACTTATCAGGCGGTCAAAAGCGGCGTTTATCAGTTGGTGCGGCGATGTGCGGTTCCTCGCGAGTTGTTCTATTAGACGAACCTACATCTGGACTGGACCCGGCTGCAAGACGGTCTCTCTGGGATCTCTTGCAGAAAGAGAAAAAAGGTAATTTAGCAATTCAATATAATGAACGCTTCTGCAACCTTTATTAACGCGGTAACATACAGCTGCAGCAAAGCATCTGAAACGTCGGGTCATAGCTAAAATATTAACTAAGTTAACATTTAAATATTTCTAAGTTTTTTTGGGTTTAAACCGGTAAAATTATTTATTTAGATATATTTTTATTATTTAGAAAGAATTCACACGAGTTCTTTGTCACCTCAAAACACAAAACTTTCAATATTTACGATAAATTATACTTTTACTCAGGTTAATATTATAAATCGTTATTAAATATAAAATATGCGCCAAATAGAACTGACTTTAAATCGCTATTTTTACTAATTTACCGAACAATAGGTTGAAACAAATAAATTTGGAATATGTACGAATGACAGCAAAATATAAAAAAAACTTTAATTATATAATAACTTCATTTTTATTGCTCAGGTCGCACAATAATTCTAACGACGCATTTTATGGATGAGGCGGACGTGTTAGGAGACCGGATAGCAATTATGTCCGGCGGTAGATTGCAGTGTGTCGGCACGCCGTACTTCCTCAAGAAGCACTATGGGATTGGATACAAAATGACCATAGTGAAACAAGATAGCTGCGATGTGCAACAGGTCACTGGTTTCTTGAGAAATTATGTGCCAGATGTCAGAGAGAATACTAATATAGGTTGGTATTTTGTCAATTCGCAAACTCTAATGTATAGTAAATATGAAAAAAGAAGTTTTGCTAAAAACAATTTTTCACAAACAGTACCTAGCTCATATTTTTTATTAGACACAACGACTTTTACTCTAGAAATATTACAATTCTACATGTCATAGGTTTTCGGGCTGGCCGACGTAAGCGAGTAAGACGTTATGTATCATATAATTCTTTGAGCAATCGAGAAAGTTAGAACATGTCCTGATGATGCCGTCCGCTCGTAATGGCGAAATGTTGACAACCTCTTCTCGCTCACCTCAAATATATATTTTGAAATACAGAATTTATCTATAACTATTCTAGTATAATCATTTGGAAACTTATGCAAGAATAAAAATGTTTAATTAATTAGTTGTTAGTTGTATAGAGAACAAACGCCCTTTTTGATATATTATACAAAAAATATATAGATTTTATGGCCCATAAAAATTAATTTACGACATAACAAGACAATAAACAATTCAATTGTTTTACATTAATACGTATTCTTTTGTTCCTTGTGCAGGATCCGAATTAACATATATATTGCCTAATGAACACGTGAGCAAATTTCCTGAGATGTTAAAGAAATTTGAGGAAGAAAGGCACAATTTGAAAGTATCGAGTTACGGTCTGTCTGTTACCAGCCTGGAAGAAGTATTTATGAAGTGAGTTTTATTATGATTATAATATAATTTATATATATCTATACTAATTCGATGATTAAACGTGTTTTTAGTAAATTTATATAGGATTAGTAAATTTTGTAATGTTATATAGGTACGATAACCTATAGGTTATATTTTTAGTCACTGCATTATTATTTTTATAATATTTAATTGCATTATAGAATTTTATTATATTTATATTTATTGTTGTGTATCCCGTGATCTTGCCCATAAAAAAAAAAAACTTTTTACAGAGCCGGCGCAGAAGATAACGATAATACATCTCCAGTACTAAAAAATAACTACACTAAAAATCATAATGACTGCGCGATCATTCCCATTGATAACAATCATCGGAACCACTTTTGTAAGTATGATGACGTAAGCATCCATTGATTATCGTATGTAATTTCGTACGTGTTAAATACGTCTACGACTGGTTTTGTAGGTGTTTTTTATAATAGAGAAGGATATACAAAAACGGGGTTAACTTGATGATAGGTGAAATCCGCGTGGAAGATGTGTTTCCGCCCTATTTGAAAACCCTGAACTGAAACGCCATTAAACTTGACAGCTTTATCTGTGGACGATGGTTCGTGGCCTGAATGATATTTCGATATCCCTGCCCCCCTTTAATGTTCTGATTTGCAGACGATCAAAAAATTATAAAAAAAGGCTTAGGCGGAGATCGAACTCACGATCCATTGATTACCATATATTACTACCGATACACCATAGAGCCCGTTTCCGTGTAAAAACACATACTATTTTACATGTATATTATTTTTAATGTGACATGCTATTTTACTTTGCAGCCGACACTGAACCCATACAAAAGGTCATAGGATTCAGGTTATTGAAGAACCACATTAAGGCGATGTTTCTTAAACTCGCCTACAATTCTATGAGGAACAAACTCTCCGCGTTCATTCAAATCGTAACACCGATAATAAACATTACGATTTCGGTTATAATAGCTAGATCGTGGCGTTTTATGACGAATCTACCTCCGTTAGAGTTAAGCCTTACTAGCGGGTTTCGAAATACAGAGACTCTCTTATCCGAAGGGGTGAATTTGACAGACAGTAGCTTAGAAAGAAAGGCCATGCTAGCTTATAAGGAGTACTTTAAATCGTCCCTGGATCCAAATATGGCATTGAAAGATATCGGTAGCATGGATGTTGGGAAGTTTTATTTGAAATTGGTAAGTTTAATTAATATTGTCTGTAGTTTATGCAAGTAGTACACATATAAATAAAACACTTTAACGGTTTAAAACGCGAGCAAGCCAGCACAGGGGGGGGTAGCCCAAAACGGGCCGTGAAATATATATCGCGTTTTAAACTGTTGAAGTGTTTTATTTAAATTAGTATCTGTATAAGGATAAATGCTATTATACTGCATCGATTTTTTATAAACGGACACCAATAAACATTCAAGGTTGAATGGCTGTTATATATAGGCTATATATATATAAATATATATATATATATAAACAGTAATATATATTGTTATATATATGTGACGTATATTCAGAAATATGATCATTAGCTACGCTCTACATGTTAATTAAGGTGTATTGTGGTATTATTTGTGTTAATGGTTAATTGATACAGTAACACTTAGAAAAGATTAATTCTAATAGTTTGTTTAGTTTTTCAACTGAGGATCTAAGGCACAACTTATAGACATTTTGAAAAAAAAAACTAAGTTTAATCTCCTGTCGGTCCAAGTCGAAATTTTTTTCAATTTTAATTTTCGATTTTTAAATTATAAGTTTAATCTCTTTAAAAAACTATAGTTATGTACTTAGATACTTAAGAAAAGTATGAAATAATAATTATTATTATAATATTTTTTTTTCAAAAAAACATGATTGACATTTGTAATCGCTGTATTTTGTTGTTTTATTTTTTAATTTAATTTAACGCAAAAATATTAACTAGATAACTGATTTTTAACTACGATCCGACGTCCTAAAACATGCACATACAATCAACAGGACAAGGAACTAGCTGGTTCCTGAAAATATCAATAATTACAGCACAGATGGCGCTGGAGTAGCTATAATTGTATTTTTTTATAATATTTTAGAGCGAGCTAAACCCAGCCCGCATTCGATACGAGAATTTGGTTGGAGCCACGTTCGCCCCTCACCGGATCACAGCGTGGTTCAGTAATTACGGATACCACGACTCGGCGATATCACTTTCGCTTGCAAATAACGCAATGATGGGTGCTCTTGCGCCGGGCACAACACTACGAGTCATTAACCATCCACTGCCCTATTCAATAGAGAATCTCGTAAGTAAAAGGTGTCAAATATATTCGTTTAGAGAGATTTTTCTACGAAAAATGTATGTTGATCACTATGGAATCTTTAATATCACACACTATTGGGGTAACCCAATTCTACTGAGTTTTTATTCGACAGAGAACACGATCGATCGATAGATCAATCACGGATCACCGCCCGCTGATGAAAACGTTGTCCAGTTTAAATGCTTTTCGGTTTCAGTCTGTCGATTTCCAAATATCCAAAGACAAAATAGGCCGACAGCGCATCTTGTTGAGACGTTCTATCAACTTACCTACCATCAAATGAACCCTTGTTTCATGCTTGTGTGCCCACCTCTAATATAAAAAAACAGACATTACTTATTATATTAATTTTACATTAGTTATTATTTTATTAAAATTTAAACCTATTATTAAAACCCACTTAAATGGAGAAAAAAATATATAGAAATAATGTACAATGTTTCAGCTTAGAATAATGGCATCAGGAAGCAGCTTAGGATTTCAGTTCGCGTTCAACATCGGATTCTGTATGGCCTTTGTAACTGCGTTCCTTGTTCTTTTCGTCATAAAGGTAAGTATATTAATTTCTTTATGCTTATTTGTATATTGTTTTATTAAAACAACATTTACCATTTAAGGCTCACTTGATGGTAGGTGCCATACCCCAGTGATATTACATATACACAAGATGCGTCGACTTAATTTGTCCATACAAAGTCCAACATGTTTCTGAAAAATTATATATTGATTAGACATGTTCGACCCGGTGGAGACCGAACGAACGACCCGGTAGAGACCGAAAAAGACCCGGTAGAGACCGAACGAACGACCCGTCGATTATTCGCCATACAATGCTACCATCAAACCTACGAGCCCCTCGCTATCTATGAAGTTAAATTTAAAAAAATCTAGTAAACAAATAAAAATTGAACACTGTCTAATTATAAGTTTTAATAGGAATACTTTTTAAACCAGTTATCATTCGACACTATTTAGGAGCGAGTTAGTGGTGCTAAACTGCTGCAACGCATATCTGGTGTCCGCCCGGCAGTTTTATGGGCTTGCTCTTTTATTTGGGACTGGTTCTGGATGCTATGCGTCTACATCACTATCGTACTTACATTAGCTTGCTTCCAAGAGAGCACACTCTCTTCACCGGCGGAGTTAGGTTAGTGCTGTTCAAGTTTTACCACCATTTATCATCAAAAGCCGAAAGTAGCAAATAGATAAGTAAGATATGACGGAAAGAATCCAGTGTAAATCCAAACTTACACTTGCCTGCTACGGCATCTTGTATTGTTGAATATTTGTTATTAAAAGCACGAAATATAAGTGTGGATAGACAAATATTTGATTAATAGTTTTGAAGTAATAGAAGGCTATTAGAAATCAAGATTCTTGGAAGGAGATCGTCGAGAGAATTTAAAAAGAAAAATGTTTGACAAATGTTTAGGTCTCAAATAACTCGATCTTGACTCGCAGCGATCGACTGTATGTGTCGTTACATAACCTTAAAAGATATTTCAATAACGTAAAGCTGTGAAATTGATTTATTTCAAACTTATTTACATTGTAAATTTATCCTTATTTTATCATATAATTATAATGTTGTTTCAGGCAGAGTTCTTCTTGTATTGATGGTATTCTCGCTGGCGACAATACCGCTGCATTACTTGGCATCTTTTTGTTTCGATGCATCAGCAACGGGATTCTCGAAAATGTGCTTCGTTAACATATTTTCTGGTAAGCAAGCAAGTTTATTAAAAGTATCATTATTAAGTTGAGAACCGAAAACTAAGATTGTATATTTTCGAATGTTTATTGGCGATGGTCTCGGTCTTATTGAAATTCGTTTCGTAGGTTGTATGCCGTTCCTGATTACGGAAGTGTTACGTTTACCCGAATTTGGTAGTCCGTACTACGCGAGTATATTTGATTGGGTATTTTCACCACTCCCAATTTACTGTATGAGTAGAAGTTTTAGGTAAGTTTTAACATTTATTCATCATATTAATTTCATTAGTAAGAAATTTAAATAAATATTGTCTGTAAGTTACGCGAGTAGTACAATTAAATAAAAAGGGTTTTAACATTTAAACACGAAATGTATTTGTTAACTTGTTACTGTAGTACTGCAACAGTAAATATACGTTAATACGTTCTATTTTCAAATGCTTTACAGCTGTCATGGTTACGGGGGGACCAAGGCTAAGAATTATATTTTTAGGTTAGAGTGCTTATAAATTGACTTCCACGTGCAGGGATATGAGCGTGTCATCATTCATGATTCTGATGTGCGACGGCGTGTGTACGCAGCTTAATCTCAAGAACTGCACACGCCAAACGATCTGCACCCAGCTCAACATGACCGTATGTTGTAGTACGTGAGTCTTGTTTACACACTAATTTTGTTTTCTATAGAAAATACAAGATATATTAGGATCGTAATAAGATTTGTTAATATGAAGTATAATCAGTAATCTAATAATTCGAAAGCTATTATAACTTAATTTATTATTTTATTTTAGATATTAATATTTTACCTCAACTCAACAAATAGAGGTGCAAACTTTCTTGCCAGGAAGAAAGGGTCTTTCTACTCTGACATTTAAGAACTTAAATTTTTAATTATTTTAAAATTTACAGAAATTACCTCTGTCCCCTGTTGACACACAATCGGTTACCTACGGTTACCTATCGGTGTATTTAATATGTTAATGTTAATACTGGTTTGCAGAACTGGATGATGACCCCTTCTTAAAATGGAATGAACCAGGAATCGGGCGATACTTGTTTATGATGTCGCTTGTAGGCACAGTTGCTTTCTCCGTCCTACTGATTAAAGAATATGAAGTCTTAAATAAAGTAAGTTTTTTATTTTTGTCAAAAGAAAACGTTACATAACTTACGTCTTAACGCTTATCCAGACAATTTAGTAAAAACGTACAAATTTATTTTTAATTATAATTTATTAGTCGTAACAGCGAATATACTATATCTAAATTAAACTTTAAAAAAAGAGCTAGCTAATTTTATTTGAATTTAAGTATAATTATATTTTTATATACAATTTTTTACAAAGATTAGCTTAAAAGTGTGTTCAAAACTTAATAAATACAGATATTCTACTCGGAGACTCCCCACCGCCCTCTGCCGGTTAGTGCAGACGAAGACAGCGATGTAGCAGCTGAACGAAGTGCCGTTCAAGACCTGTCAAAGCCAGAGCTGGCGCAGAACAGCCTCGTCTGCAAGGACCTAACCAAATACTACAAAGACTTCCTCGCAGTTAATCGCCTGACATTCGGTACTAAAAAAAACATTTTAAGACGTATTTTTCCTATCAAGATGCGAGTAGTGTTTATGACACTAATCGCCCATATAAGGTCAAATAATAAATCAGGTTTAAGGAAAATATTAATTTACTTGGAATATTATAATTTAATGTGAAAGAAATAATGCTGTGCATTTTAAATTAGTTTACTATGGTGATGTGTATAAAAAAATCATATCGTTTATTGATATGGTCGTCTAAATATTTTGTCATTTTGGGAGCTATAAAGTTTTTAATTTATTAAATTTAAAAAAAACTGTTTATCGTTTAGAATATTAAGATATGAAGATAAAATATGTTTAATCAAGATTAAAAGGAATTTCGCTGCAAACTATTCTCTCGCTCAGTCGTGTAGTCTATAAATAACACATTGTTTGTCCATATGGCTACTAATAGTTATAATTACACTTTTAGCTGTACGCAAAGGCGAGTGTTTTGGCCTACTTGGAATCAACGGTGCTGGGAAAACAAGCACATTTCGTATGGCAACTGGAGACGCGCATCTTAGCGCTGGAGACGTATTCGTACACGGCATGTCTGTCAAGACACATATTCGCGATGTTCACGCACACATGGGTTTGTACTTCTAGATTAGTACTATCCATTAGCGAAGTCTATTTATGGTAATCGTTTCGAAATATTGTGATAATAACAAAAAAAATATTATATAATGGTATTTTAACAGGTTATTGCCCGCAATTCGACGCGTTATTAGACAATCTGACTGCTCGCGAGACCCTCAAAATATTCTGTCTTTTACGCGGTATCCCTGTTCGAGTTGGTTCTCAATGGGGCATACAACTCGCCGAGCAGCTTGGTTTCTTGAGGCATTATGATAAAAAGGTATGTTTTTTGCTTATTTTCTGGTCCTTTGAGCCGGACAATATATTTATTTATAATTTATTATAGGTGCACGAGTGTAGCGGTGGAACTAAACGAAAAATAAGCACTGCACTGGCGTTATTGGGAGATGCTCCTTTAGTTTTTCTAGATGAACCAACAACGGGTAAATAGATTTTATTATCTATCAAAATTTTAATTTGACACTTGAAACAATATTAATGCGTAATAACGGGCTCGCTTGATCTTGGGCTAATGGTGGCAATAAATGGCTAATAATCAACGGGTCGAGGGTTCGATCCCAACCAGGTCCAACATGTGTCTAATTTAACAATTTATAATTTTTCTGAATCATACTAGACTTCGTCTGGAAATCGGGATATTAAATGGATGGTAGTAATATGAAAATTCCGCCGGGTCACCAATCACTGTCCACAGATGAAAAAGCCGCGAAACTTAACCGCGTTAAGGTTTCGGTCTGTGGTATTCAAAAATACGTTGACAGCCCATCTTGTTAAGATGCTATCGGCTTGGGTTTTCACCTACCATCAATTGAACCCCTTGCTGTCTGTTATCTATCATTAAAAAAAATCTGAAAGCCTTCTTTTTGATAATGTTTAAAATAAAAGTCTTAATTAGTAATGTTATATTTAGGTATGGATCCGGCGTCGAAGCGTCGCGTATGGCGTTGTATAAGCGATGCGGTTGTTGCGGGGCGTAGCATAGTACTAACATCTCATAGTATGGAAGAGTGTGAAGCATTGTGTTCGAGGTTAACTGTAATGGTCAACGGACGCCTCTTTTGCCTCGGGCCGTTGCAGCATCTAAAGAATAAATTCTCCCAAGGTAAAACATTTATTAAGTAAACCTGCAGCTTTCTTTTTGACGAGATCTTAGCAAATATGTAGACAAAAAAATTTTCTAAGATGTCATATTCATTATTATATATCGCTCGTTTGAAAATACCTTAATTCTTCCAGGATTCACTCTGATCGTTAAATGTAAAGAAGGTCCAGATAGAGATGCTGAGGTTATAAAAATAAGAGAATATATTTTGGACAACTTTAAGGAAGCTAAACACATGTAGGTATTAAAAATAATAAACTTACTTAAATGGACTTAAAAAACTTTTTGTTGTTTTTTTAAGTTTATTTGTCATGAATAATGTGCAAGTAATAATTTTCTTTCAGAGAAACATACTTAGGTATTAGTACGTATTATATAAACGACCCGGAACTGTTGTGGTGGCAACTTTTCGACAAAATGGAGGAAGCCAGGTCCCGGTTTTCAATGGAGGACTATTCAGTATCCCAGACCACCCTTGAGCAGGTTTTTCTACAATTTACGCGCATGCGCCAAGAAGAACGAATTCATAACTAGCGCCATCTAGTCATAATACTCTTAGTATTATAATATTTGGTCTGTCACAGTTTTGATGTGATTTTAAATATTCAAAGTATTTTATTAGATAATTAATATTTTTTTATTTAACTAGCATAAAAGCAATGACATACAAAAGCCATAAGGAGATATAAGTATATATTCGTAGCTTTGTGAATCTGAGACAGAAGTCTCACTACTTGAGAAAATGTATTATAAAGTGAAATAACAATATTTGTACTTACTTTTAAAAAATAATGGTCTCTCTATAGCGGGTCTATTGAGGATAAATAATTCTCGTATATTTATTAAGTTAATTTACTTTTTAATATAACTTACCCACACGCTAAATAGACTGGTACAAACTCGTATTATTAAGTGTGACTTAGCGTTGTGCGTTTATACTATTCTAAAAAGAAGCAAAGCAGAAAAATGCATGACTTTGTCGAAATATATAAGGGGAAAATTTATTGTTCATTAGAACAATGTTACCTACATCGATGTTTAATGGCCCCGACTTAACATAGAACTAAATCCTTAATGACTTATCAAGTATAAATTAACTAATTATTAATTAACAATATTGTTTTCAATTCCGTACTGATATTAATTTTTTTTTTTTTTTTTTTATTTTTTTATTTTGGTGAAACGTAACTTTGGGCGAATATATTTTGATAAGACTTTTCGAATCGATTGAATATAAGATAATTCAGATGTAACCAACATGTTTTATGTCAAAATAAAGAGATCAAAATAGCCTGCACGTGCCGCGTGTTCATTGCAATATTTTCTTTATAACCCGAATACTTTTACGGGAATATAGTACTTAAGGTAGTTAGACGCTAACGATGCATTGTGCTTATATCGCTTGTTCGTACTTGGCTAGAACTATTCGTAATAAATTACTCGATAATGTTGATTTAAAATACCTAAATATATATTTATATATATGATAAAAATGGATGAAAATGCAATAGTACTACGCTGTTGAGTTAATGTTCTGGGTAGTCAGTCTTTTTCTTATGATAGATAAGACATGCCATATAACATCTCAACAACGTGGCATATCCTATTTTGGCGTTGGATAGCTTAAGTATTTAATATTTTATGCTGCGTTGGAGTTTTGTACGATACTTAAAAGTTTGGTGCTATATAATTTTTCTAGCGAAAGATCATTGTGGATTTTTTTTTTTTAATGTTTCTTTCCCAATTATTGTAATATTGAGACAAAGAGCGGTAATTTTACCAAAGGTATTTTTAATATATGTATTAAATTAACCAGTTAGATGAAACCAGAACATGTAGAGTAGTTGCAGACCCAATTGCACTACTAACACCTCTTGTATTATGAAAATGTGATTTTGAAATGTTTTTATTGTGATAGTGTTAATGTGATTTAAATTTACTATAGCCATTTATATGTGCAATGATTTTATACAATTTTACAGCTGAAAAACACATGGTGGCATTATACAAACTGATAAAAATCTGAAAAAGGCTTTCACAGCGTTCCGTGCTGCTGCCCAAACCAATTTATTAAATTATAGATTATAACTAATCAGTTAGAGCAGCAACGTACCGTGTTGCAGATGCCCGTTCAAGACCCGCCGGTGTCGTATTTTTTTTAAAATCTAATTTACATACTTTGCTTTAAATTCACGGAAAGAACGTCAATTGTCTATTGGTGTTCAGACCAGACGAACAAAAAGTATTTATAACATGCCAGTATTATTTAAAATGTAAAATGTCATTGCATATACAAGTATCTCGAGATATACTCTGTAGTATTGGTACGTCTGTTCCTATTCAATGACTCGAAATAACATAGTATGAATTGCATGGCTGTGTTCGAGTCTCATCGCGTACTTAGATCAATTATGTTTTGCAAACGGTTAATAATTATTTATATACAATTTAGTTGATTATTGAATGTGTCTTTGATTGAGTAAGTAAACCTTACAAAAAGTAATGTTGATTATTTATTTGTAATATATAAATGTAGCATACTACGAAGTGTTTAGCCTATTGCTTCTTCATGTCATTTCACATTAACGTAGCATGATTGGCCCATATTGTTTTCACTATCGTAATTAAAGACCGATTTTCGCGTAGACTCTTCAAAACATTAATAAGCGAAATATTTTAGTTGTTTCCGTTTTCATATGGCTGCTGATGACCTCCGTAACGTTGGGTTATAATAAAACTCAATTATCATATATATCGCGTTTTGAACCGTTTAGATTATTTTAATAAATGGGTACCGCTGGCGTATGCCACAGATAACATTTCACTAAACTTTGTTTAGTTTGCGGTATTCGATGAAAATTTGTTTGTTCATCAAATGCGATTATAAATAGAAAGATTTCGCCCAGGCCTATATTTTCTTAAGTCACCTTAACTTAGTGCAAGTTTAGAATATCATAGTCATAACGCCCCGGTCCGTACTTAAGAGTGGCACTTGAACTTGAATATTTTTAATTGTCTACTTCTGTTGCCTTGTATGTGAACATAAAATATATACATACCTATAAATATAAGAAAAGTGTTCGTTTGCATTGTATATAGTGTTTACAAATTTTTGAAATAAAAGCTTTCGGAATTATTTACGACTTTCTTTTATTATACAATATACTAAAATACTTTTTAATACAAAACAAAAGTGTATTTTACATACTCGTTTGCGTACTTAACTAACCTATTGTCATGCTAACGATGAAAATGTACTTCTAATCTTTAACACTTTTATAAAAATTAAGACAATAATTTATTGATTTATTTTACATTTCTTATAAATGTGTCATGGATTAAATCAATTCTTTGGTAAGACGTAGCTTGAAGTCCTAGCTTATAACTTGGCAAAATAGCTTAATAATAAAGTAACACATATAAAATAAAGTAAGGCTTAAATCGGCAATCTTCCTAAAGCCTGATGTCTTCGTTTAGTCGTTGAATTTGCATTATCTAATGATATCTATAATGATCTATTTGTATGGTAAATCGTCGATAAAAATTCTCAATTTCTTCGACCGAACAACTCAAGAAGTAACTTGACCCGGGGTAAGCCTGTTAGATTACTTAAAGAAATTGTGTTTTAAATTAATAATAACGTTGCTCAATACGACACTGTTTCTTACTTCTAATGTCGAAAACCAGTGGCTGTATTCGTTTAACCAATATGAGCTCTAAAACAATAATTGTTAATATAAAAAATAGCATATTTTTTGCATATATACCAATACCTCAGTACAAACGAAACTCTAAGACTTAAAAGTTTCACGTTAAAACTAAAGAGAGAATTATCGATTCATAAATCCGTGGTTTCCTGTTCCATATCCTGGTATTTGGTAAACTGTAAGAAGATTTGTTCCAGCGAGGTCTGTAAAATACTATAGTCTTCTAAAGGCAGATCTCCCTTAGCTCTTTCCATAATTCCGAACATATTAGACCACGACACTGTGCGATCTGGTAGATAGTAGGTTATTAGACCTTGGTATTCCTCCCTAAAAATAATCATGAGTAATTAAAAAAAATATTCGATTTTAGATTAATAGAAAAATTTACGACACAAGCAGGACTTGAAACGGCATAGCGTTTTAACCAATTATTTGCTACCGAGTCCTTCGCGTCATCGTGTCCTCTAACTAATTATTTATAATACATAATTTAATAAACTGATTAGTGCAGCAGCACTAAATGCTGTGGATGCCGGTTCAAGCCAGGACGTGAACCGGCACGGGTAAGCCAGTGTCGCAAAAAAACTTCTACCTATAACCGATTGTTAATTTATATAATGCCATAATTTGTCCCTATTTTTTTTAATTAGTTATCTGAAGATAGCAATATAGAAGAAATATTTGTGGTAGATTCAGTGGCTCATATGAAGCTCGTTGCTGGCACGTAGTTTGGGATATCTTGCGTTCAAATCTCGTAAAAAAAAAAGCAATGTCTTGCACTTAATTTCGTATGGAAAAGAGTAAACAAAGATTGTGTATGCTCATACACTTACTTCAATATATTTGTGCTGTAGCTGTACTTACATTAATCGTGGACCATTAAAATTACTCATTACATAGCGCTTAATAATCTCAACGTTGCTCATTGGTGAAGGGTTTAGATCGTTTTCAGCTGTTTTTACTTTGATCGTCAAAGTGAATCCTAAAACGTAACAAATTTATTTTTTTAACAGGCCTCCCAGACGAATTTGAATATCAATGCTTTAAAGAGATTTTCTCTAAAAATATAGGTAATAATTGTAAATAATGGTAAATAATTGAACCGGGAATAAGAGAAGGATGCTAGGAGTAAATTAAAGTAAATAAAACGTTTTAAACCGTTTAAAATGTTTCATATGTATACTTATATCTTTGTAAAAGATATTTAACAGACCATGAATAATTTTCACGAAAAGTTTAAATACGAAATAGTATAATAATCATTGCGGATTGAAAACATACCTTGCGAGAATTTATTCTTGAGATGTTGAGGGGAACCGAGACATTGGAAACGTCCGTTCACCATCACAGTGAGCCGGGAACATAGGGCTTCGCATTCCTCCATACTGTGTGACGTCAGTACGAACGATGTGTTAGCGCGCCTGCAAATAGAAAAACATCGATATTGTTTGACATTTCCTTAACATTTTTAATAAAAGTAAATAATATTAGCAAACAATGTTTATACGTAACTGTAACTGTAACGTTTATACTAAATAACGTAACGCTGTCGACCTATTTGCTAATATGGCTCCCTATGATAAAAAAAGTTTAAACAAGGAATGTTTAAACTTCTTATAATTAATTTTCATATACATACTAATAATAACACATACATTACATCTTATATTGAGGCGGTTCCAGTAAGTATTACTAACTTGTGTTGAAGTAGTCTAGCTCCTTCCCTCCCTACATTAAAACATTGACATTTAAGAATCACATGCTCTCACCTAGCGTTCCTAAGGGCGCGCCAGACTTGTCTTTTTGCGGCGGGGTCTACGCCAGTTGTTGGCTCATCTACAAACACGAGTCGAGCTCCACCCATTAGTGCTACAGCTGTACTCAGTTTTCGTTTATTGCCGCCAGAGTACTGGTCCACCTTTGGGAAAAAAATTGATTAATAAGTTTAACCAATGCATTTCGCGTTTTAGACTATTACAAGTGTTCTATTCAAATAGATTAGGTTTAAAAGTTATCTTTAATCGAAATTATTCGTTTTACCCTCTTGTCTAAATGTTTGGTGAAGCCCAGAGCAGCGGCGAGGACTTCGGCGCGTACCGTCGAGTGTTCATCATGTATCCCACGGAAGAGCGAAAACAGCTTGAGCGTCTCACGACCTGTTAGCTCTCCAAACACAGCATCAAACTGTGGGCAATAACCTGCAAAGGAAGTTTATAATGGTAACTCATTTTGTGAAACGATTACTATCCTACTCAAAGACGTTAGTTAAACATTATCTTGAAACTATCCACTTGTACTTTCTTCACGTAAGAACTACCTTATTAAAGAAAATAAAGTCGGTTTAGCAGTTTTTCGGTAATTTGTAAATGATAAATGAAGATATAGTGATTGTTAAATTGTAGATACAGCAAACTTATCGATGAAAGCTTTACATCGCTAGAACGCTAAAAAAATAATTTGTGAGGCCCCGTTCCTCCTTTGTTTAGTACAGGTAACATATGTGTCCGTTGATCGATTTTAAGGCGAGTATTTAACCAATAAACTGTGCTTCGTTCGTCCGAAACTGCTTTTAATTATCCTGGTTTTGAAGCCACTATGTGTAAAAATATAGAATAGCGGTATTCATATTTATTTACAACAAAGGCGGTTGGGGTTTAAGCAAGCATTTTGAATGTTAACTATGCATAGAGAAACCTTCGTTTTACCTTTACTTCACTTAAAATCAACATTGAATAGGATAAAATAAACATTTAAACTTGACTTACCAATATGTTCGTACACCGAAGTGAGATCAGATTTTACAGAATATCCGCAAACGAAGGCGTCTCCACTAGAGATAGACTCGTCTCCCATCAACATCTTGAACGTTGTTGTCTTTCCCGCTCCGTTAACTCCCAACAGACCAAAGCATTCTGCTTCACCAACGGCTGGAAACGTTAAACATACAAATGAGAATTCTGGAAATCAATTAGAACTATAAGATTTTTATTTATTTTAACTACAAGATTTAACAGCATTTTAGCTTCTCAACCAAACTGAACTAACAGACTATTGGATTTAATTTTCTTCACTTTCTTTAGGGAACTTGAGACAATAGTGTCTCATGCTACACCTATAACTTTAATTACAACCTTAATAAAAACGTATTAAGGTTTAATGTCCCATGGTGGCTAATCAGTAGCTTAGTTTTTGACATAATCGCTAACATATAAAATAATAATTGTCTTACTGAAAGAGATCTGGTCGACTGCTAGCTTCTTTCCATAATATTTAGAGAGAGAGTGCGCGACTAGAGTGTGCTTGGAAAGGAGCGTAGTTTTCGCGTGGTGAATTTCATCCAACACATCCGGATCGAGGTTCGCTTCGTTGAGTAGAGGGGGCTTTTTACCCCATGTGAATATCTATCAACCAATTCATTTAAATGTAAGTTTTTATATAGATTTGTATTATTCCTGCATATTTATTAATAGTTATTAAAGAACTTCAAAAGAGAAAGCTACGAGAGATCTCAACTATAGCTTGAAGAGTTGGTAAAATAATATTATTCAGATAAGGTATGTATATAATGTATATTTTTGATTATCTATTTTATATTTCTGGAAAATAAATTTAAGTTGAATATAAATTAACAAAACACGGTTTTAATTTATAGTATACATTACCCTCTGAATCAAGCTGTACTCGAGCAACATCATCAGAACCCATAGAACAACACAGGAAGCCATCATACAGACCAAGTAACGGGACACACCCGGCTTCGTCCAGTGGAAGTAGGGGTTGTCGGGGACTATATGACAAATTACGTAATGTTGAAACATACATCAATAAAAGGTCCCAGCGGGGGTTGACGGACGATGGGTTCCGTACTATAGACTAAGTAGACAGTAGGTACATAAATTTAACGTTGTCACTTGATTTTCTTTGATAAGGAGAACCAAAATAGACCAACATTTCAAATAAATAATATATTCATTTTAAATACGTTTAAAATGTTTTTCAATCTTCAGGACTTACCACGGCTTCAATCTGAACGTCGAAGGAAAATAGACTAAAATTAACTAAAGATGTATTGAGAATAATACTGTTTTAATACACTATCTACTACATTTCAACCCTACTAGACACATAATAATGTTAATCCCCAAAATACATATTTACCACAGCAATTTGGAGAGATTTTTTCACAAATGTTTTGCATGGTACACTCCATGACATCAGGGAAGGTGCTCAGTAGGTAGTCACACATTTCCATACACGAAAATTCCGTTAACCCGATTTGATTTAATGACCTGGAAAAATATTTAAAAAATCTTGAATACAAACGCCGTTTACGAAAGCAATACAATTGTGAAGGAGTTTTAAATGTTAACTCTTATAAAACTAGGGAACTTAATAATACTTGAAAGTTTGTAGTTACATTTTTTTATTTAACAAAGAAATTAATTTTAGATAATATTGGGAGCATACATACAGTGCATTTTACCCCACTCCCCTTCTTCGGGGAACGCATCCTCCATCCATCATCATTATCTCTTTTAAATAATAAACTGCTTACCTTACAGATGTTACAAGACTATACAATGGGAAGAACTGCAGCACGTAATCCATATATTTGGCGACGTGGCCAGTGTTTAGAAACGGCGAGCCCAAGGTCTCTACTATCTGGGCGCCCATCAAGCCTGATAATATGTTTACACTCATGAGTGTTAGTAAAATATATTTTTTTATTAGTAACAACGTATACACACAAATACATTACACAATTTCCACAGAAAGAGAGAATTTGTTCGGCTCAAAGGACCAAAAAAATTTTATACTTTTGCAAGAGTATTTCGGTGTTATTGACAATAGAAACACATAATAGTGTTAATACATTGTGTTTTATGTTTTATCAACATTATTAATAAAACGTTGAAAATATCTCTTCTGCCCCTAATGCCCGATTTATCTTGACTTATCTGACGTACTTACCAAACAGTATATTAATAAAGAACATAATAACGAAGCCTACAGCTGGTCCATTGAAGACTAGCGAAAATAAGTAGTGAAGGGGTAACATAGCAGCGCCATACACCATCAGACATAAGTACATACGCCCTGTAAAACATTATTATATTATTTTCATTTGTTAATGTATAATGTAACAAGGTAAGCTTAGCTTTTAGAAATTATATCAAGTGTCGCAATGACATGATTAAAACATCTAGACTCATGAAAAAAAATTACATAAATCGGTCTCGCCCGGGAAATTAACATACCTATTTCACTCGGTGTCCTAAGTCCTACTACATTAAAAGCTGCACACGATGCAATAATGGTAAGACTGAGTATGAGAAACCACACCCAGTCGAATACAGCAGCCGAACCCCACATGACCACGGGTCGAACCCCAGCAGCTTTTTGAAGAAGTTTCGCTCGAATTACGCGTTCCTGTTAATTTGAAAACATCTAATCGTTAATATTTAAATTATGTTGCCCATAATGGTATTATAAAAATTCATCCATAGCGTTTCGTGGTCGCGCTCGAACCAATTGAGCTACCCTGTCGTGGTTAGAGCAACAGCACGGAAAGCTGACGATGCCGGTTCAAGTCCTGCCCGAGTCGAAAATTTTTTCAATTTATTTTCGATTTTTAAATTTTATAGTGCCTTCATGTGCAATAACATGTGAAAAATATTAATGTTTTCAAATTTTCAAGTAATAAAATAATTAACCAATATATTATATCACGTAATAGTTAAATGTGTTTTATTTTATACAAATTAATTTTTGTACCTTAATATAAAACATAACGTAGACAGCGCTCGCAATAGCTAAACTGTTTCCAACGGCTGTGGCTACTTGCATAGAAAGCAGGGACACCATAGTTTGGAGATCAGTCTGAAAAAAATAAAAAAGTTTCAGTAATTTTACATTCAATAATTATAAATAAAACAGCTTAAAACGTCGTCATTAGTAAAGATTCTTTGAAAAATAGTCTCACTAACGGAGATAAACGCAAAAATATTATTTCAGTTAGAAACAAAAGAGAAAAAAAAATCTTATTGTAAATTTGTAAACTTAGCCTACTTTATACGCTAAATGATTAAAGAAAGTAAGTTTAACATTGGATCGTTCAGGAAACCATTAAGTATTGTAAAACAATAATGTAATTAAGTTAGTGTCAGCTAAGTAACACGTTAAGAAAAACTTACATTATCCTTATAGTTAGCATCGATGGGATGATTATAGACTGTGAGATTTGCTTCAGGCAGGATTCCCTTGAGAAGAGCATTATGGACCGTTGCTAGTGCTGTAGCAACGTCGTGGTAACCAAAGTTGCTGAACCATGCTGTTGCCGATTCATCATCAAATGTTGCACCTATCAAAATTTTGTTGCGCAGAAGGCCCATAGCTATTGGATCTTCCGTCTAAAAAATACATAAATATATGTAGCCGTATCTATTAAAAAACATTATACATTTTGCTTATAATAGAAATAAATGAAAACAATTAAATTTTGTCTTTAATTCATTTAATGAAACACTTTGAACGGTTTTAAACGCAAAAATATTAATAAAGGTAGGTGTTTTTAACTACGACCCGCCGATTCTTACTGTAACCACGTCTACAAGTGGTCATCGTTTAAATAAAAACATTTCGCGTTCTAAGCCGTCAAAAGTGTTTCAGTTAAATAGAAACTATTTATAGAATACGACTGGAGTTTTAAACTATGTATATTTTACATACATGATACATTAGTCATAAAATGATTTCTTATTAATAAACATGATGATACACTATCTCATTTCATATCGCGACTCGAGATTGAAAAAAGGGTACTTTTTTTTTTGAATTATGCCTATTTATCTAAGATTTGTTGACTCACACTTATCACAAACGATTTGAAATGATATGAAGTTAGTTTTATCTTGTTAATGAGTCTTATTCACGGAAAAGTATTGTTGAAACTTTGTGTTTCTCTATACACATGTGGATATTTAAGTATAATAATATTGCCTTTATTCTCATTACTTTATGTTTATTAATTTATGAATGCTGTACAGAATTTACAGTGTAACCGCTCCTTTCAACGCTTTTTTTTATATTTCTCAATAATGCACGCCCACGTCAGGCATTTGTGACATCAGCGTGGTAAATCGCATTTGTATGATACCCTCCGTGTTCGAGCTGGCAGTACCAATCCCACCAGAGGCGAGAGTCGACCAGAACTTCTCAACACACCATATGCCCGCTACTGTGGTTTCAACGAATCCCTGAGTACAACTTTATACGACTCCAAAGGTCCCAGAACCGATGTCCACTTAGACAAGACGAAAATAAGGTAGATCCAGGAGGTATGCCTTGATCCTTGTCTCAGAACATGAGGTCATTAGAACGACATTCCACTTCATGTTAGGCATTAATAGCTCGCAAAAGATGGCGGCCGCTTTTTAAACAATTTTCCAACAATTTTATAGAACCTACAATGCGCATGACGTGGAAATTACAAATATTAAAATGACTCACTCGCTCTAAATACATTTCATCGACTGCTTTTCCATTTAAATCCTGGAGCTCCATTGAATTAAGATTTGCATTACTAAATATTAGATTATAACCTGCCCTGGCAAGACTTCCGAGGGACAGCGTGTCCGTGCCGTTAAAGGTCAAGAACGTCTCAGTTGATATATACCTGAATTTAAAAAAAAAATAGTTTTAGAATAGCAGTTTAACGAACAAGGTCATGTCTTGTAAAATTGTGTAATGACATCTCATAAGAAGAATCATATTACGAAAATCAATGGTTATCAAGGCATTGGATGTGATTTAGGCAAACGAGTGGAAGTATGATGACGAAAATTCAATTTAAAATGTTGTATTTTCAGTTTTCTTTTCATTACTCTATGTTTAAATGAGAAATGAACCTTGTTGCTACAAAGGTTAATTTTTTGAATTGGAAAACGAAGAACAATTTAAAAAACGACTCACCCTTCAGTAAGAGATAAAATTCTTGCCATAATAATAGAGCGATTTACTAGAATATAGTTTGTGATAGCTAAACTGATAGTTATCTGTAGTATGGGCACTAAGATCTGTAGCAAAAGGATTCCCCAAGAGCGAGTCCACACGAGCCACAATTTCAGCCAGATCGCCGTCACATGAATCCATACTAAGCGACAGCCTGTCACAGTTTTTTGGCTTTTTTCAACTGTAAACAAATAAGTGTTCGCATAAGAGGCACACGAATTATATGTTATTGGTATACTTAGACTACCATCACAATAAAAATGCGTTACTTATAATACGATATCTATGAAACAAAAACGAGACGAGATCTGTCTCACTTTTTCAATTTCTTATTTCGATACTTTTTAGTGTAATGTAAAGGAATGAAGAAGTGAATATTTGCGAAACTTACGTTTTTCCAATGATGATGAATCAAACCCGTTATCTTTAAGATCATCGGAATTATCTCCAATCGTAGTGTCGTCAGACATTGAACTTACTTCGATGTCGGAACCAACTCTAAACGAGATAAATCGTGCGTTAGGAAGTATGTTATCTGATGTAATAGTTTAAAAAGATAATTATTTATATATTTGACTTCTATAAACCCTTCTACATTGGATATTTTGTTTTAACCAGTTCTGTTTAAAAGAACGTTTATTTAATACGTTCTCAAACACTGTGCTTAATCAGGGTAAAAGTGCTGATATTTCTTTCTTGACATACTTACGACATAAAAACATCTTCCAGTGTAGTAGCAAGTAGACCGTAGTTTTTAAAGTGAATTGAAGTGATATTATCTTCCAATTCTTTTAGCATATCCTCAAAAACGTGGCGCTGCGAGCTTGGCAATCTATAAGTTACTTCGACGGCTATAAAAATCAAAATTTTTCACTGGTTAACAATAAATTAAAATGAATAGGAAGATATCATAATTATATTAGAGGCATCGAAAAGCTAATCTTTATTTATATCATTATTGTATATAATATTCAATTGATTAGATTAGCCTATTCTGCGAACGGAAAACATGAACAATAACAAATTCAACTCGCATGTCATGATATTTGTAGGAAAATGGTGCCTTTTCCTTTACGATCAAGCTACCAATTCTATAGATTGTTTTTGTATGTATGTTCCAAATATAAACAAAAATCTTAAGAGAAAAATTATCTATTAAGGAAACAGACGTTTCTTTTTGATAAAAAACAATTGACGATAGAAAAAGCCATGCATCAAACTTACCATCATCATCCTTAGGAACAGTTTCAGGTAAATATTTGCGAATAAGCTCAGTACAACCGTCAAGTTGGAACCCTTCATTCTTGACTACGACGAGCGTGTATCCAATACCGTAGTGGGTCTTAAGAAAGTAGGGGGAGCCTATACATTGTAAGGTGCCGCTGGACATTATAGCTACACGGTCACCGAGATAGTCAGCCTCGTCCATGAAATGAGTAGTTAGTATCATCGATCGGCCTAATGAGGACAGAAAAGATTATTAGGTTCTATATGTATATTTTCATATTTCTTTGTAGACATGATGTCAAACGAAAACAAAGAGTTTAAAAAAATATCTAACATGCGCTACAACAAACAAAAGGCTATTCAAGATTCATATGTACAATAAGTAGAACACCTTTTTTTTCTCTTTCTAAGAGATCCCAAAGAGCTCTACGTGATGCGGGATCCATTCCTGATGTCGGCTCGTCCAATAAAACTACACGAGCTCCACCGCAAAGAGCAATCCCAACACATAATCGCCTTTTCTGACCACCAGATAAGCCGTTAGCTAAGTAATCCCTCTACAAAATAATAATTGTTAAATCACAAAATAACATTCTCCTCGTTTGTGAGTTCGTCAGGATCGACACACAAGTTGTTGGACCAATATTAAATAGCTTTGTTTAAGTGGGTTTAATTTACGTGTTACATTTTTTACATCACATTAACAGCAAAAGGCAAAGGCATGCAGTCTTGCAAAATAATATAAGTAACTAAAAATATTATAAAAAAGGCAATACATACTTATCAAATATGATACACATTATATACAAGAGTTAACGTCTTGACAGAATTTGAGGAGGTAAAACAGGTCTACGTGATTATGCGACTGTAGAAAGACATTTATAAAGCTTTTAAATTGAGAATTGAGCTAGCAATAATAATATAATTTAAAAATCGAAAATAAATTGAAATGTTCCGTGCTGTAGCTCTATTGCCAGAGCAACAGCACGGAACGCTGACGATGCCGGTTCAAGTCCTGCACGAGTCGAATTTTTTTTCAATTTATTTTCGATTCTTAAATTATATAATGCCTTCATGTGAAAAATATTAAAGTTATAATAGCAAAAACTACTTTTATCCTAAAATTGTAATAATTTTAACCAAAACTGTCTAAGTCATCGCGGCTGCAAAGCACTCATTAAATTCTAGTTTCCTAAAAGCCTCATAATATCTTAACTTTATCATTCGACTGTACCTTTTCTTGCATCTCCAATTTTTCTATAAGCGTGTTAATCTCCAAATTTAACTCCTCACCGCTAAATCCTTTAAGCCTTGCGAAAAATTCTAAGTGCTCTTTAACAGTGAGCTCGTCAAATAGAACGTTATGTTGGGGGCAAAGGCCCAAGTGAGCACGAGCCAACTGCAATTGAGTGGCAATATTATACCCCGCCAAAAGTACACTGCCTTTTGTTATTGGGACATTTCCTAAAAAAAATCGTTGTTATTAACGTTGCTCTGTGAAATACCTATTGAAACCTCTGGGTAAAAATAAGTGGCCTCCGGGGCCTTTGGGCCTAACAGATTCCGAATAAAATCAATAAATCTGAGTCAAGTTTTTCAATAAATAGCAAAGAAAAAATTGTTCACCGATGATACTAGTTGGCCTTTTTTACCTACAGTTTTGTAGGGTTACGGTTACCCTCTCTCATATCGGGTCTTGTCTGACGTGACAAGTGAAATCAAATCAAAAATCATTTATTCATCTACGTACTATTATAAAGGCCATAACAGTTAAAAACAAAATACGAAAAAGCGAACGATATACATATAAAGAGAAGTAGGGGTCATCGATACTAGTTTCAAAACTAGATGAAGTAATGCCTGTTTTGTTTTCGTCATTTTTATCAAGCATGAAATTACAAATTAATTACTTTATCTGTAGCAGTGGATAATTACCACAATTGCAGATAATATACTTTAACAGATTTATATTAAATGTAATTGAAAATCTTTCTTCGAACTTACCCGTTAACATAGAGATTGTTGTCGATTTTCCAGCTCCGTTGTGTCCCAGTAAAACAGTGATTTGATCGTCATAGATGTTCAGATTAACATTATTAACGGCAATGTTACTTCCGTATACTTTTGATAAGTTCTTGAATACAAAAAGAAAACTTAATGTTGCGACATGAAAAAATTCGTTATGAAGATCTAATATAAAAAAGTTATTCCATGTATGTTCTATAAAGCCCCATATAATATAAAAGGATATTATATTAATAAATCCCTGACTTATAAGCAGGTAATTTAAAAAACATTTACAAACTTAGCTAATACTTAGTAGATAAAACTTTTTTTAATACTTACAGTAATCTTGACTCCTACAGCGTGATTGGTGGGGTCATCTTCCTTAACTATAGTCGTATCTTCAGGCTCAACTTCCAAAACTAAACACAATTTTTAATCTTTGAAGGAAAATTTTGTATAGAAGTACATTATTTTTTCTTTTTGAATTGAGGATTTGTTTATTTATGGTAATCTGTGATCTAAACATTGAAATTGTAGAATACTTAACCTAATATGGCGGACTTGTTGCTTTTGATGGGCGAAACGCCTTAAATAAGTTTGTAACGTTGTACTCTTTACTAACCTGAATTGTCTACTGCTTTTGGAAACCAAAATGATTTTTGTACAGGGAAATACCACGGTTTCGGTGTGCCCCAAGGGCCTGGTAAAACCTGTTCAAAGTACAAAGCCAACAGCAAATACAGTACCGAATTAAAGACCAACATAATTACGACATGCCCAAACAAAAATCTGTTGGAGTCAAGAGCATGGGTTGTGAAAAATTTGTCCCATGTCATACCTAAAAAATAATACATGTTTATTATTAAATAACACTTTTGTTCCTGTAACCAATGTAATGTCTTTGAAAAGTATATGTTAACTAAACTGTAACTGTAAGTTTTACTCGGGCATAGTGTTCAAAACATTGTAAATACCTTCTACAATAATTAGTACGTACTAAAATAGACTATACACCGTCGTAGCACAGAAAAACTTAACAGAAAGGTTATTTCCCAACGATATATATGATATAAGATTATTACTATCTTAAGAACATATGTGAGTCATAATAAAAAATGACTTTAAGCAGTGAAACAGTAAACGGTAATTAGGTATACATAACAGTAATGTGTCAGGAATTGATATAAATTAAATGTAATTTTGTGGTCTAATATAAATACCGTCAAGACTCTCCTTGGATATAAGCAGTTGGAAACCATATGACATGGCAGAATTTATGGCTAAGCAAGTCAACCCTTGGAGTAAAGGTGGCACTTCTGTCTCCATGCTCAGAAGAAATGATGGTAAATAAGTCAAAAACCATATAACGCCAGTGAAGAGCGCTGCTGTACTGGCTGTAAATGTATTAAGAAAATACTAATGTCACGTAAATTTAAAATCTATTTGGATTGAAAATATTAACGATACGGACATGACTTGAACTGGTATCCAATGTTCAGCGTTAATGTTAAATCTGTCGAGTGGGGCTTGGGGCTACGGGATTTACATGGTTTCATATAATTATGTGCAACTTATGTGTCTTGTTTTACAGTAGTTGAACCAAAAAATTCGCGCTGATCACACTAGTCTATCAAGGCATATTACGTATAAAAAAGTCCCCTTTCAAGCAATATGCAATTTAATAGCACTGTCCGATACTTTGATTTTCCGATATTGTTACTATTCTTATCATTAAATACCTATTGTCCTTTCTACAGTGATTATAACATTATTTTCCGCATTAACTTTATTCTGATAAAAACAAAACGCGTAAAATAGATCGACGTTTTTATATCTACAAAGAAATATGTTCATATGAAAGGTGATGAGCCTGAAATGATATAAAAATATGTACTAGATAGAACCTTCGTAAGTTACCCTAATACATTTTGTAAAGGCTTTTATTCAAGACTGTAAACTTACCTTTACTAAAGAATCCACTGAGCATAAAGGAAAAAAATATCATACACGTCAAGTACAAAGTTATGAAGAAGAAAAGGACAGTCCACGGTGTGTTAGTAAAGACGGCATAGTCACTGAAACCTTCCTCGTTTGTAAACCAATTGATCTGAAAACCCGGTAACATTAATATACAAAATTTATCTCCTTAGAGGAGCCATATAAAATCAATACAAACCTTTAGTAGTACCACAAGAAAAGACGAAATTACTAGCATAAATATGAATTGCTTTACAAACCACGCCGTCCAATGTAACCAAGTAGGTAGACCCATTATTTTCATGATTTCCTAAAAAAGATACTGGTTACGCTTATTTACCCTAAAATAATAGGGCATTCCCCCTTCCTCACTTTTACATCTTTATCCTTTGTACTAAAACTAACTACATTTTATTTAATTATGTTTTGCCCGTTAGCTATAAGGCCGCGCATTGCACTCAATATTTGTATTTAAGTTTGATTTTATTTCTTGGTTATTGAGTCATGAAATAATACATTTAAAAAAATTTACCACTAACATCCTGTAAGAGGCATATAATAGGCTATGTTATTGCAATACCTTAAAAATCTGTTTATTGACTTTAACTTGAAAATAAGATATACTACAAGCTTATTAGATTGAGAATACCTTAAGTTGTTTTTCTTTTTCCAATGTGATGGCTCGAACTATATTAACAGCTGTGTAACTGAAGCTGATCATCACGAACATCGGGAAAATAAAATTTAGGGCATCCACTGCTAGATCCTCTATGAACGCTGGATGAGGGTATCTTTGAATGTGCACGTCGAAATTGTTAAGGTCCGTGTTTGTCAACCGAGAGATAAGCTCCATTGATATCGAATTTTGTAGGGCGATAAACATCTCGTTAACGTAACCTTTAATGAAAAAATAAATTTAAATAAAACACTTCACCGGTTTAAAACGTGAAATATATATGTTAAACTCGTTACGAATTCTTTTTAACTACGACCCGACGTTTCGGATCCATGTCATGTCGGGCTGGTGTTACGTTTATACACGACATACAATGAAAAGTCACACCTGGATTATTTCCACCTTCCCATGAGTTCGGGAACCTCGGTCCAGGCAATTGGAAAAATGGAAAAACGTCATCTGAATGCCACGAGTTCCCGCCCGTGGAGAAGAACGAATTCAATCTGGGCCTTTCCGGAAAACGTAAAGAATATTTTAGATCGCGGGGCAACTCCAAAGTCCCTAAAAAAATGCGTTAAGTACTTTGTAAAGTTTTTATTATATCATATTATAATATATTCTTAGCACTGTAAGATTATAAAATAGGCAAGAAGGTATATTCTGCGCTAGGCTCAAGGTCACATATCTACCAAATCTACTATTATAAACGCATATTGTTTCTTCAAAAGCTGAAAATCAGTGTTGCAATACAAGTGTGTTCGTAAAATTATGCTGAGAGGCTCCTGCTTTAGGAATTGCCATAGCAAATTTTTTGAAGTCTGATATATTTATATAAGCTAATCGTAAGTTATTAAGTTCAAGTTCACCTTACCTTTCAAATCGTCATCAAACTGCACCGCAGCTAATACTCTGCGAGTGTAAATCTCATCTAAATAAATGCCCCTTAAATCTTGACTACTATTATACGCTTGCACTTTGACGAGTGATTTTACGATCTCCTGTATAATCAAAGTGGAATTCCCATCTATAGGTATATCGGGAAAGTCTGGGATTTGATTTACAATATCTCTAATGTTTTTAAAGAATAATTTTACAACCGCTGTTCGAACGATGTCTTCTAGCAGCGGATTTTCTGGGGAGTACGCGACCGACATTTGGGTTATATTCATCCCGGTTCTGAAAACGATATGATATTATTTATTAATGCATAGAAAATATCGAAACCTTCCTTCGTGGCATTAAGGGCAGACACATCTCTGTGTCCGTTTAACTAATGAAATATATACATCTGAAATAATAAGAATAATTTAATCTAGCTTTGCAAGGCTGAAACTCCTAATTTTTTCGGGATTTAAACTCAATGAAATCTCTTTAATATACCCAACTTCTTATCTTGGTAAAGCCACTTATAAATTAAGGTTATGGTCGCCTTGAATATTTTAATTGTAACACAGAATTGTATGTGTTTTCTGCAGCTTATTGATTTTTAACAAATAAACCTTACAATTTCACAGATTAATCAATACATTTATAACTTACAGAACGGGCAAAGAATAGTTAAGCGTGTGCGCAGGTAAAGGCGGATATCGTATTACGTCTCTGCTGGCTGGTTCTATTTCCATGCGGACTATCAGCACCAATGCCATGGTGCCAACAGGTAAAATTAGCTCTAATAGAGTCTGCCATCGATGCCTCCATTGTTGCAAAAAGTTTTTCCATATAAGAAGCCGAAATTTCGTGAATGCACTTGCTGTTGATCTATCTGTTTTTATCCTCATGGCGATCGATTTTTGTTTTCGTCGAGTTACTCGATTCTGAACAATAGAGAAGCAAATTTACGTTACTTTATTTTTATTTAGTGTAAGGTCTGCAACTTAGTTTGACAAGTATAAATAAGATTCATGTATTACAAACATTTTATATACATTGTAACTATAACGTGTTCTATCCCTTTGGATTGCCTGGAAGAGATCGTTTGTAAGCAATAAAGCTCCACATTGCACTACATTGTAACATTTTTGTGTGCAAAAAGACAATTCAATAACATTATGAGTTATGACGGAATTGGACTCTAGAAAATTGCCCATGACTCGGTTCTAGCTAGCAACAGAACATGTGGGCAGTCGTTCTTGGTCTAGCTAGTAGCCGTCTAGATCTTCAATTTAATACCTATTCTGCAAAATTAACGAAATACCCCGTTTGCTCGACCTATATATACAGTAATAGAGTAAAATTTTATATTTAACGTTTTAATTTCTTATGCTTATCCAGGAGTAAATATTCTTATAACTTTTAAATATAGTATGTATATTTAAAAGTTATAAGAATTGTTTGTTTTTATTTTAATATTTTTGCTTCCTATATTGATTTCGAAGCATCTTTGTCTTCGTTTATCGCCGATTACAATAGGAATACTGAAATATGTTTTTTTGGACGTCACAAGTCGTTACTGCGTGCACATGCATATTTTATCAATTGATATTTTACATTACGTGAAAAATTAAGTCTCTGAAGCTGTTTAGCTCTCATGAACTATTCAGTCATGGTTGGATGGTGTCACCTTTTATAACATTCTTAAGAATAAGCCTTGATAATTTTACAGGTACCTTACCACTAAAAGTGACCCATCCACTGGTTATCTTAACTATTAAAATATATTAGAAAGGATTCTACTTGCTTTATTACACGGGTGAGGTATTTAAATGTGTATATGTTTTATGATAATATTGCCATTAAACTTACCAAAAATGTGCTAATAACTTTTTACGGTCACATAAAAGAATATCACATTTGAAAAATCAGAACACTTCTATAGCACACAGACACGCGCAACACACTAAAAGATAACAAAACACTGTCTAAAAAGTCACAACGCTTAGTGCTCCTGCGTAATATTAATTATTTTCGCACCTGTTATCATACCCATAGATATTAATTTCGTAGATAATAAGCACAATATATATTGTTTGAGGTATCACTGCGACAAAATATAAGCAATGTATATGTCATGTGCTTACACGAGTACTAATGCACTAAACGCTACTCATAAAACATTTGAGTGCTATTCACCTAGTGCAAAATCTTTATCATAAGTAGTTTGTTTGTGTTATTTGTAAAATTAGAAGTAATTTCTGAAGTAAAATTTCTTCCAGGAAATATGAAAAATGTTCAAAAAGTTGAGATCCTTAAGATGTTTCTAAATTTATAATTCGGGTAATAAAATTTGAATTAGATACACCTTACTCCTATTGCCATTATATGTAAACGTTTTTCGTTTTGCTCCCAATGTTATATATCTAAATAACGACACAGCCGCCAAGTCTAAAAAACAAAAAGAAACTACCCAATTTAGATTTTGTCGACCGTCAGTCGCTTTAAATCGACTATAACATAAGCACTTATCACAATCATTTGTTATCACCATATCAGATTAGAACAAATTTTAACATAAATATATTGTGCCTGTGTTATTCTCTGTATTGGCATTTGTATTGATATTTGAAAGGTAACAAGGAAACAATAGGGAACTGCGAAATTACTGTGAAATTTTATATCTGAAAATTGTTAAAAAACTAATGAATTAACTAAGTAAATATACAGACAGTGGAAATAGGACTTATATGACAATTCAAATAAAATAAATATCTCTTCATAATATTATATTACTGTACAAATCTTACTACAACACTAAATCTAAGAACCTTCTTATTATTGCCATCTATAATGAGCATATGCTCTGTTCGCTTCACACAGTCTATGAAGATCTTGTTTCCTCTTCACCACCTTGCCAGTATTATTTGCAGCATCTAGTAATTCCCAAGCAAATTGCTCGGGAAAATGTACTGTTCGCTCCTTGTCGTTAGTGGCTTCCAGCAACCACTTGATAGCCAAAAATAATGATCTCTTCTCAGTTATTGGGCTGGGAACCTGAAACATATTATTATTTACTTTCCACTTCTTTACTTTACTAAAATACTATGTCTGCTATACGAGTATTTGACTGATCAATTATTACTAACAATTAAGGTGAGTCCAGATATTGGATATAACTATCTTCTAATATTTCAAATGCTTTCATTTTGTTGTAAGTAAATAAAGTTGTAACTATCAGTGTTAGTCTATTCCTAGGTTTCTGATGATATATATATAAATATTATATATATATATATATATATAAAGGAACAATATATAATACCTGGTACGTAATTCCACCCCTTTTAATAGGCAAGAGTTGAAGCAATGGTTTTGAATTTTCCACAGCTTTATTTAGGATAACTCTAGGACTAAGCTCAATCTTTGCTTTATCTTCAGCTGTTTTTGCTAAATGATATCTTTCAATCTGTATTCTTTTTATATTTTCAAATGCCTTTTCAACTAAAGTTCTTGCTAGTTTTTTATTACCCATTTTCATTACATGATTGATGACCTTACTGGAAACCATATTTAATATTTTGAATATTATAAAAAACACAATAATGACAAAATAACATGTTTTATAACTATTTACTAATAGCTTTCCGTTCATTTTCATAATCCAATGACTTAATATCTAGTATAATAAGGGTTAAGATATATTTATTTGGCATTGGTCAAATACTTTTTTAAAAGAAAAAAGATTTTGCTGTATTTTTAAACATTACTAAATAATAACTTAAGGGTTGCTCAAATACGGGTCATTTTTTATGTTAAGTTGTTGTTACAGTGGGGTATTTCAGTGTGATATTTTGGATACTTACTTAACAAGAGGATCAAAATAAACAGATGAAGTTTCTGCCACCGTCGGTGGCTTAACAGGAATTGTTGCTAATTTACTGATCTCATTGTTTTCCAAGAATTTCGCTTGGTCTTCTTTCCGAAATATTGGGTTTTGAAAGTAGTCTGGGAAACTTGTAGGTCGTGGATAGGAACGACTAAGTATCAATACTGCAGGTCGGCTGGAAGTTATTAATTACGTGTTTAAGAGTTTGATTATACTTATTTAAGTCATTGTTATAGTTTGTAATTTGAAGTGTCTTAAAAATAAACTCACACATTAAGCCGAGGTTGAGTTAAAGTAGAAGAAAATAATTGCAATAATTTTACTTTATTAGTGAAATTCATGGTATTTGAGTAAAAATGTTTATGCAATTCAGTTAAAGGTTATTTATTTAGTGTTCCAATAAATAACCAAATAATTGGTAAACAAACTGTACTTTTAGAAACATTTAGGTTAGTCCAAACTCCACAGACGTGAGACGAGCCCCTTAAGTAACCTACGTCAAGAATCAGCTTTTACCACAGAATGAGCTTTAAAATTTGATAAGACCATACGTCTGTTACTAATCTATAGTGTAGTCATACTGACAGTTTATGTCAACAATAAAAATTATTGTTTGGCTTTTAACTTTTAGATATTAGCATACATACAACTATTTTATTATGATTCTTATTTCTTTATAGATGAATATAAATTAATTCGTTCTATGAAAAAATGTCAACAATAATAAAGTTTGAACTCAAGGACCTTCGTAAATTGGCAAACGATAAAAATTCCTGTGTTATTGAACGAAGAGTTACTCAAAACATACCCTTGCAACCATGGTGTCTTGGTAATTTAAAGGACTCTATTAAGAACCTTTTGGATTATAAAATAGGAAAATTCGACAAAGAGTAAGACTATATATAATATGTTTCATTATGTTATGCAAACATGGTTATAAAGATTTATTATTCATATTCATTCTTTTTTCAGGTTCAATGGAATACTACTAAGTTATAAGAATTTACAAATATTGCAAAATTTAGGCACAATCAGAAATGATAACTCTGACATCCAATTCCAAATACAAGCAGACTATTTTATTTTTTGCCCATTTATTGGTGCTACCTTAAGAGGGATTGTCAACAACAAGTCATATACACATCTAGGTGTCCGTGTACATAGGTATATAATATTTATTTATTTATTAACTTTATTAATTACAAACACCACAGAAATGGTTTACAACAATATATATATAATATATAATTGCCATATAATACTTCTTAGTCTTTATATATCTGAAACTAGGACATTAAAGATATATCTTCTTCTGTTTACAGAGTATTTCACATTGTTATTTTAAGACCAACAGAGGAACCTGGAAATGAATGGATAGGCACAAATATTGAAGAAGGCCAAGAAGTTGTCTTTCAAATAGCTGCCTTAGACCTCTATGGAGCTCTACCCTATATTAGAGGGGAACTGGATGAAAGGTAGATGTTTGAACAAAATAATTTGTCCTAATCATTTTCTATTCTCATTTAAAGCAGGCCTTTATTTGATATTCTACAGTACATATGTAGTATGAGTTGTGTGTTTCTTTTATATAATTTGTATCATTTCAGATGGTATAGAAACTTAGAGGCTGCTGGTGATGAATTGGATGGTACAAAAACTATTAAGCCCTTAAATGTTTCTTATGTTAGTATTGAAAAAACAAAACCAGTGCAAAAAGAAGCTGAGGAAAAGCCAAGTGCATCACCAAAACTGCCCAATGCTAGTAACCATGGCAAAAGCAATTCTATTTGTAGACAAAATGGGGATAATGATACTCTTAGTGGTATATCTCCAATAAAAAATAAAACTAAACGTAGTAAAATGGGGGATTATGAAAATAAACAAATAGAATCAAATTCAAGGGTTAATAAGAAGCATAAGAAGGATGGATAACTAAAGTACTCTTTGAGTACTTATATACAAATTTACATCAAAGTATATTTTATTCTTATACTATTTTATTATTCTAAATAATACACATTAGGCGTGAGTGCGTGTATATAACAATAAAAAATCTGACTCATGAAATTATTGGCATTGTGAAAATAAGGTCACATTCAGATTTTTTTATTCAAATTTCTTTAGAAGCGAATCTTGATATTAAATAACTATTTACAATTCAAAAAAATGCAGTTTTATTGTTTTTATTGATTCTATTTATCCAATAGAAATAATAATAAAACCAAACAGCTATAAGTACATACTCTGTAATTAGATTAACATATATGTATAATCTATGGCCCATATTGCTTCTAACACATACTCTACTATCAAATTTGACATAAAAGTATTTATATTTCAACGTCAAACATCGATTTAAAAAGACGACATTGCTGATAGCATCGATGTTTTGCGTTCGCCTGTTTTTTTTTGAGAAATCGTGATCTTCTTTAAATATTCTTATGAACAGCTGTATTATAACATTAATAGTTGACTTAGTGAAATTATCTCTTACACATCATATGCTGTGGACAGAATTTATGGAGTTTTGATTATTTACAATGTCACGCGTAAAGCAAATCATATCCTATTTATTCCTATAAAATAAGTATAGTAATCATTCAAGTAAGATTCAGATGGAGTGTATGAATAAACCCACCGCTAGGAAGACTTAGGACTACTGTAAATATTACAATTTTCAATAAATTAAAATGTCGAAGAATGGCGAAGTGCCGTCAAATCAAGGTATGTGTAAAAATACTAACTACCGCTTGAACAAAACAAGTGATAATATGACATGAGTATTTATATTTTTCTAGGACCTAGTAGACCTTCTATGCCGAAACCAGATTTAAATCTATTTCCCACCGAAAAACGTAAAATTTTAAACCTTCAAATTGGAGGGCCATCTAATGAGAACGCTGCTTTTATGCCATTTACCTCCACGACAGCTCAAAGAACGCGGATGCCGTCAAGAACCATCAGGGATGTGCTTCCTGAAACTGCAAGGTAAAAAAATATATGTTAGCAAACAGTACAATTTATATTTTCTTTATTAAGACATAAAATGTAATTTAAAATAACCTTTACAGAGATAGGTGTAGGATATACCCTTCAATGCAATCATCAGGTAAGCTTCAATTATCTGCAACAGAAGTGTATGACTTCACTTCTGATGATCTTCAGGACCTTGGTGAAATTGGTAGAGGGGCATTTGGGGCAGTTAACAAAATGGTACACAGAAAGTAAGTGGTTAAGAATTTAACCTTTCATAGTCTTACATTATACATATATCATATAAATTTTATGTAAATAATGAGGAGGCATTGACTTCCTACTTAGGTCGCTTAGATTGATTACTTGATTGACCCAAGTTATTGTTTGTATATTTAGGATAGGGCCAGTCTGTGACATCAAGATAATGTGATGGCAAATAACACTCACAGCACATGTACCACTTATCAAAATGTTTCGACATCTTTTAGGTCAAATAAAGTGATGGCTGTAAAGAGAATTCGCTCAACTGTTGATGAAAAAGAACAAAAGCAGTTGTTAATGGATCTTGAAGTTGTTATGAAGAGTAATGAGTGTCCCTGTATTGTACAGTTCTATGGGGCACTTTTTAAGGAAGTAAGTTTCTATAATGTCGACATCAAAGAATAATGAGCCTAAAAAATGCCACTTTATTTATTGTCTATCACTCATTATAATTTTGAGTAAATGTTCACCTTTTAATTTTATTTTCTATCGGAGACACCCTTGGCAGGACGGGTGATAAGTCCACGTTATCCGCTGATCATTTCACCCATTGAAACTTCACCTTTTAATGCATACATAATCTTTTTTTCAAGGGTGATTGTTGGATTTGTATGGAATTAATGGACACCTCTTTAGATAAATTTTACAAGTTTATCTGTGAAAGAATGCAAACACGTATACCTGAAACTATATTGGCAAAAATAACACTGGCCACAGTGAAAGCATTAAATTATTTAAAAGAAAAATTAAAAATTATTCACAGGTTAGTTATAAAGTAAATTTTTCCTTAGTTCCAAACATCTTATCTGTAGATGCTCATATACATAACATCTTCACAGGGATGTCAAACCATCGAACATTCTATTAGATAGAAGGGGCAATATAAAATTGTGTGACTTTGGAATATCTGGTAAATTGGTGGATTCAATTGCGCGAACTCGCGATGCTGGATGTAGGCCTTATATGGCAGTAAGTTTGTACATTTTACATTAACAAAATTCTTTGCAAATGTTGTTATTGAGATTCCTGACTTAACAACATTTTTGTCTAATGTTCTTTTATTAGCCTGAAAGAATAGATCCGGGCCGAGCACGCGGATATGATGTCAGGTCAGACGTATGGTCACTGGGAATCACCTTGATGGAGGTGGCAACAGGTGCATTTCCATATCCAAGATGGGGATCTGTGTTTGAACAACTCCAACAAGTTGTGCAGGGAGATCCACCACGTCTCACAAATAAAAACAACTCATTTTCAAATAACTTCATCAACTTTGTTAATACTTGGTATGTTATTACAATTTACATGGCAGTAATAAAATTTAAATTATTCTCACTAATATTTTACTCTTGTCGGTGCAAACTTTGGGTCACAGATATTAGAATTGCCTCACTGATTATATCTTTGTACTTATTTTGTATTTCGAAGACACAATAAGGAAGTAAAACCTAGCATTTGTATTTCACGGCTAATATTTAACAAATTTTTAAATAATTGATTTTGGGTGACAAAGGTGAGTTATGTTTACTATTTTTCTTACAGTTTAATAAAGGAAGAAACGCAGAGACCAAAATATAACCGTTTATTGGAACACCAGTTTATTAAGGGTATTGATCAGAGTCGGGCAGATGTAGCTGCATATGTGTGTGAAATTCTTGATGCAATGGAAAGAAATGGAGTAAGCCCCTTCACAACTGATCAACCAGCCCAAGCATGGGTTGAATAAACTTAAAATTTATCTAATTAATCCCTTGACATACTGCACTTAATGAAAATTAAGGATTTAATTATAAGAGATTACACTTTAATATTCATATGAAAATAAGGTTGGTTAGCTTGCCTAAATTATATCAAAATATAGAAGCAGAGTTCAAATTTCACACCTATTTTATACGGTTTTAAATGTAGTTTAGTTCTAGGCATAGTAGACAATTTATTCCCTAATCTCAATTAATACACAAAAGCACTTGTTTTCAATAAAAATGTATTACTAAATTGATTTAAGTACATATAATGTGTTCTTAATGATTACTGTAAATATAAGTTGGTTGAATTTAGGTTTTTAAGAATTAAAACAAATAGAAAATTTTGTGAAGTACTATAGATTATTTTTTAATTGCACCCTCATCATATATTTTATTTATATAATCATGTGATAGTTGAGTTATACAGACTTATTAGTTTCTTTTTTTTAATGGAACGGTTTGTGGGTTTTGGAGCCCTGATACCAATTCATTTACAAGTTGAAGCCCTTTTCTATTTCAATTAAAAAAGGTTTTAATTTTTCCTAACTAGATAATCTTACTCCTCAATTGTGTATGTATTTTTATTATAATAGTTATATGATAAATGCATTTAAGTAATAAAAACTCAATAGCAATAAATTATGTTTTTTTTTGTTGTTAGATATTGCCAGTTTTAATATTATTATTTTTTAAGAACTTTTTAAACCCAGCATCACATTTAAAAATGTGATGCTGGGTTTAAAAAGATTTCAAATATCCTTATTGACATTGATTTTTTGTTATTATAGCTACAATGTTTTGGTGAAATGTTGGAATTTGGTACTTAAAATGGATAATAATAATTTGTTAAGCATAATATTAATAAATAAATAATATAGGTTTTTTAATCAAAGTAAAAGTATTATATTTCTCAACATTGGTTATATTCCAGTCATAATTACTATGAAGATGACTTTGAGTATAAAAAATAAAAGATTTTTTTTTACTTCTAACATCTTTTAAATTAAACAATAAGGCATCTACTTATCAAATACTAATTATTACAATTATATAAATTTTATTATCCGTTTTTTTTTCAACATTTGAGGTAATTTTATTCCAAAACTTCTCCAATCTTTTTGGAATTTATAACTTTACCAAATTTGACTAGAAGTTTATATTTGGTGCCATCAGTAAGTTGGGGTGATAAATAAAATGCATCACTAGTTTTCGGTTTCATTTCCAACAAAGGTATCCATTCTTCTGATTTAATTGTTCTGTCAACTCTATTACCATAGAAATCGATAGATGAAATCTTAATTAATTTATTATCTTCACTTATATACAAATGTCCTATTATATTTTTAAATGGTAAAGTTGAAGCTGAAAGTACTAGTCCTCCTGTTACTCCTGTAATATAAAAATAATAATGAATAACAAAATATTAAGTAAGTTCAAAGTATTTGTGTAATAAAATCGGCACTGACCTATGTATGCTGCTCCTAAAAAGCTCGACGCAGGTAGTATTGACGACATTTCCATAATACCAACGCTGGGTAAAACTAAACATGATCCGTAAAAATGAAAAACTTTTAATCTATTTACTAAGGCAAAGTATGCAACATGCGGGAAAGAAAAAACATGATCAAATTTATTATTGGAAGATGCCCTACAGTTAGATATTGTTGTTGCACATCTTATACATATCCTATTAATTAGTGAAGTCATTACGTCTGAATCTTAGATGATATCAAATTTCCATATTAATATGTACATAATAAGAATTAGGTTATTTATGAAACTAATAAACAAATCATTTTTCTTTAAGTGACAATTGACCATAACTAAGAAACTTGAGGTGCAATTTAATGACAAAATTTATCAGATTTGTTTTAACTACTACCATAGGATATATACAGGGTACTTAAATCTAATCTTTTGAAATTTTACATTATTTTATTTATTCGTTTAAATAAAAATGAATGTCACGAGGAATTTAAAGTGAACTTATTTACTTTTATTCTTCAATTTTCTACTATTATGATGATTGATGTCAGTCATAGCTTCTTTTTTCAAAGAAAATGTATGATTTTATCCTTGTTTCATGTTTTTGCGATTGCAAAATGCAAAAAATTGAAACAAGCTATTGCAAAAAAAAAGTTTCAGAATTGCTTGATACGAACATTACGACAATAATAAGTGTTTCCTGACAGATGACAGTATTTATAGTTTTTGTTTACCACGTGTGTACTGTGTAGAGATTTTGCGGTAGTGGTCAGTATTGTTTTGGAGATTTCATACATGTTATACGGATTATCAATACACATTATTTTACAAATAATATGTGGGTGATATGTTAGTTAATACAAACAGGATTAGAACTCAGAAAATTATCATTTGACTAAGTTACAGGAGGGTAGAGCAATGGCTATGTCACTAAAGGAAATGTAAGTAAAAACTTAAAAGTTGTATCTATCAGTCGTCTATTATTCACTTCTAATGGTGACCAACTTTTTTACAGCTACGAGAAAACATCGGAGCACGAAGCATTTTATACGGGTGGTGAAATACAGTGGACTAAAGATGGTGCTAACTTTTTGTGTCAGTGTGATGACCTTATAAAGGTTATTGACATAAACACTGTTCGTAATACAAATACTTTTGGATCCTCTGGAGACGGAGACGAAGAAACAGACCCAATTTATACATTTCAATTGTCACATAATAATGATACTGTAGTAAGCGCACACAAGAGTGGCCTTATAAAGCTATGGGACTTTGCCACTGGATTGGTACAAAAGACTTGGAGAGCCGGTCACAAAGGATCAGTGGCTAAACTAGCTTATGATGTTAATGATACAAATATAGCATCAGGTAGCTCAGATGGTAACATTAGACTTTGGGATTTAGTACATTACACATGTACAAGTAGTCTAAAGGGGTCTTTAGGTGTTTTTAGTGTGTTAAAATACCACCCTGATTCATTAAAAAATTTAATTTTTGGTGCAGCAGATGATACTAAGATAAGGTCATGGGATACAAAAACAGGAAAAGAAAAAATGTTGTATTCTGGACATTTCAGCAAAGTCACTTCCATACAATTTACATCAGATGGTGATTATATGGTGAGTTCTGGAAGAGATAGAGTTCTGATATTGTGGAAATTAACAGAAAGTAAGTCCTTGCGTGTTATACCAGTTTATGAGTGTATTGAAACTATGTTTCTCTTACCACTATCATTTAAAGTCCCAAACTTTAATAAGAAGCTGGATACAGAAGGTATTTATGTAGCTTGTGCTGGTGAGAAAGGAACTGTTAAAGTATGGAATGTAGCTATGAGTAGGCTTATGTTTGAACAAACTAATAGCCTTGTTTCTCCGACATCAGAAGAAGGTGGATTAGCTATAACGCATTTACTGTTCAATGAAGCAAGAAACATCTTGTCAGTAGTCAGTGTAGATCATAACATTATTATCTATGATTTGGAAACTTTTAACTGTATGAAACAAATAACAGGCTTTTCTGATGAAATCCTAGATATTGTATTTATTGGAAATGAAGAGGATCACGTTGTAGTTGCAACAAACAGCCAAGATTTGAAATTATACCAGCTTGACAATATGAACTGTAAGTTAATTAAAGGCCACACAGATATTGTTTTAGCTTTGGCTAAGTTTCCAACAAATAAAGAAATGTTTGTCTCTTCGGGAAAGGATAATTCTGTAAGAATATGGAAACTGAATGTTTGCGGAGACATTACTTGCCTTGGAGTGGGAAAAAGACATACTGGTTCAGTTGGTGCTCTTAGTACATCACAGACTACATGCAGTTATTTTGCTTCAGTCAGTCAGGATAATTGTCTTAAAGTGTGGTCTGTACCAAAAGATTTTAATGACACAGAATCAACATTAATATCCAGTCATACTGAATTGGCTCATAATATGGACATAAACTGTGTTGCTATTTCCCCAAATGACAAAATTATAGGTACAGGTTCCCAAGATAAAACAGCAAAGTTGTGGACTGAAGACTTAACAATGTTGGGTATATTAAAGGGCCATAGAAGAGGTGTTTGGTGTGTTAAATTTTCTCCTGTAGATCAAGTTGTTTTGACATCATCTGCTGATAGCTCTATAAAATTATGGTCTATAGCAGATCTCAGCTGCTTAAAGACTTTTGAGGGCCATGAGAGTTCTGTTTTAAAAATAGAATTTATCAGCAAAGGTCAGCAGATACTCTCAACGGGTGCTGATGGCCTTTTAAAATTGTGGAACATAAAGACATCAGAGTGTAAAATGTCTTTAGACAATCATGATGGTAAAGTTTGGTCCCTAGCAGTAAATTTGAATGAATCTATCATTATTACAGGAGGATCTGATTCAAAATTAGTTCTCTTAAGGGATGTCTCTGCAGAGAAAAGGGACAAAATGATAAGAGAACGAGAGGAATTGATATTGCAAGAACAGGAATTATTAAATTTACTGCACGATAAAAAGTTAGTTAAAGCACTTAAACTAGCTTTAAGAATGGAAAGACCTTTTCATGTTTTAAAAATTGTTAATGAAGTGTTGAAATTTGGTACAGAGAAGTTGTCTCAAACCCTTAAAGAAATTAATAACACGCAAAAGGAAACATTATTAAGATTTGCTGCTGAATGGAATACCAATACAAAGAACTGCCAAGCTGCACAACTAGTCTTTAATATATTAGCGCCAGAAATAATATCGGGTAACTTACAAGTGCCGTCGTTATCTCGTTTTATAGAAGGAGCACTGCCGTATACAGAAAGACATTTTGAGAGATTAACGAATTTACTTCAGGACCTTAATTTCATATCGTATACAGTAAATTGTATGCAACCCCATAGTATCAGAAATTAATGTAATAATAAAAAATGTAATTATATTCTTTTGAGAAAAATGTTTTTTAATATTTTTGTTGTTTGAAAAATGAACGACCGTAATTACTTAGTAGTAATTGTAATTTATCATATTTTAACATTAAACATAATTTTAGTTAAACAACCCATTCGTTATTTATAATACTTTTAACAACTTGCACAATCTTTCGGTTTACAAATACTGTGGTGAATGAGAAGACAGCTGTTGATTCACTCTCAATATGAAACGTATAAACTTAGAAACAATACTAATTGAAGTGAATACACGACTCGAGCGTAAGCGCAGCCTTCTTCTGATTATTATCAATGAAAACAGCCTCCATCCTTTTACAGTAGTGGTTAATCGATCAAGCGGAGCGCACTATTGACGCGCGCGCATTGTTTTTACATTGTAATGGTTTGAAATAATGATGAACTTAAATATTCTTTTCTGTGTGATTCCGTTGTTTTTTGGCAAGAGTACACTGGGACAAAAATCGTAAGTTGTTTGTTTTTTCAAGTAATGTCAGATGGAAACATTCTACCCCAACCTAAATTAAAAACCTAATATTTATATTTCCCCTTGCTCTGTTTATGTATCGTTTACGGTACTTCTAATATACCCGAATACTTAGTTCCTTAAAATAATGCCAATAAACAATATTTTTCGCATTGTTTCAATTCAAGCTCAAAAAATACAAACACCTCGTAAAAGATAGCAACCAACTTTCTACAAAATACAATAAAATATGGTCTCTAGTTTTGTTCTTTAAGAGATAAAGTTATTTACTGGTTTTAATATTGATGCTGCGTGTCAGGATTTAAAATTATTAAGTGAATCCCGCGCTTACAACCATTATATATACTATTGTCCAAGACAAAAGTAGCCTATGTGTATACTTTTGCACTACCCTAAGCCATGTTCTCGTGCCCAGGAAGACAAACAATGGGTAGTCGTAATATAATGGTCGTTAAGCGACTACCTAATATGATTATTCTATAAGTATTAAATGTTTTCTTATGAAGCTATATCAAATGACAATTGAAAATATATAAGATATATGCCAAAATGTATCTGCCCGTCGACATTATATGCCTTAATAGCGCAAAATTTAGGTACCAATTCGAAGAAAAAATATTGGCTAAAGAAGATATAAACCGTAAAGAGTAAATTCGTGTTCCATTCCACGACCAACACAAACGTTCGAATATGCAAAGCCTTAATAGATCGACGGCGCATCGCGATTAGAAATATTGCATACACCTTTTATCAAGTGAAGTCCGAACTCACTACCTCAGCCTCACCAAACTGAAATGAACACTAACAAATTTGTAACACTATTTCTAAGCGTCAAACGATACCTCAGACAAATTACAATTCATATGTTTTAGTTATGTATCCTTTATTTTAATCCAGGTGAAAAGAGTGAAGATTACATGCCGTTTCTCCTTTTGGATCATGGGGCGACCACATTACTGTGTCCGTTGCACTGATCGGTTTTATTTACAGGCAAGCAGGTACTGCGACTTCTATGCCCTGCCTGACCGGGATTTGAACCCACTACCTTTCGCGCTTAAACGGAATCCTGCTTGAGGAAACACGTTTAACCATTAAGCTACAGAGGCGGTTTCTTGGTCACCTGCTGAAAAGTATTGCGATATTTCTGTATCACATGTACTTTATCTACTCTAGTTGTCCATAATGATTACAACAGACTATTTTTTCGTTTGATTACTTACTGTATAGGTTTTTACTCATGAGGTGTATTATTAGCATTTTATTATATCCTAAATATTTCATTTCAACTTCGGTAACAATTGCTTCAATGGCGTAACTAAAGTTATAATTATCATAAGTCATATCATTAATATAGAATACCTAAGTTTTTTACCGCTTTACAGTTTATAAAAAGTATAGGTACGGAATAACTTCTGCTCTTTATAGAGGATTACACAAAAATTGCTATTATTAAAAATGTCTTCAACTTAAACTCTATACATTATATGTATAATTTTTTTCTAAAATATTCTTCACATGCAAGCAGTTTCAAGATTTATTCATTTGTAATTACGAATTCCCTTAAACACTGGATCGAAGAAACTACTTTTATTAATATAGTTTAAGTAAGGCTCCATAATAGTCAAAACGGGACTCTACAAACTTACATCAATAAATGTAAACCTATAAATACTTATTTACTTTAGTTATCGTCCGAGACCTATTCAAAAAGATATCACGAAAGTGGAACTCAAGCAATAATTACTAAAAAAAGAAAATTGTGGTCTCCTATATATGGGAAGTGATAGATACGCTTTGTGCGCAAATTCTACCCCGACTGTTTCATTACATAAATTCATGGATAAATTACAAAGTAGCAACAAATCCTAATTAGTTTCATTTAATATTAGCTCATGAACACTCATATTTATTTTTACATGTAAATATTGCATTCCCAGTGCGCTTCTAATTTATACAATATTTGTGCAACCAGATCAACTGAAGCAGCTAATTAACAAATACACTAATTAAGTATGTCTATATAAAGTACCTACTTTTTACAAAGTAGACAGTAGGATTTTCAAGAAAACATGTCATGATCTTCTAGTTTAGAGGGTAAGACGTTTTTGAAAACAGATGCACAGGTATGGTATAGGTAGGATAGTCTGGAAATGAGCTGAAAAACATTGCTCTAACATGTGTAATGAAAATATATGTCAACGTTTAATTCATTCATGCTGCATAAGAAAATCTACCTAACTCGGTAAATTTTTATAGTCTAAACTCTGGCCGTGATCACGGCTGCTGCAAAGCGTTCAAAACATTGGGCCGGAGTTAAAAATAATTTTCAAATAAGTTTACCTAATATATATCACGTTTTAAACCGTATTTAGTAAGACAGTATTTAGTCTAAACTGTTAATATACAAGAGCACAGTGACCGAAAATTGTTAACATAATTTTTACACATAATAGTTAAATTCATTGGCGCCTAAGTTAATTGCGCATTTTTATTTTCCTCCTTATTGAAAATCATGTATTGTGTTATTAGGCCAATCTGCCTCTAGCAGTCATAAGTATTAAAATTTACAGAACAGAATAGAATTACATCGTTGTTATTTAAAGTTATGATCTAACTTCTGGGTCAAATTCCTGGTGCGGGGAACTTCAAAACAGAAGATGTCTAAAGGCATATTGTAGATATATCGATTACAATGCGTCGCTGAAAGGAATCACTTTAATAGATATCTATCAAAGTCGGTAGCAGTTGATTGCAATTTACCACGCTACGTTTCCAAGTACCATTGATACGGATCGTAAAGACTTTATTAACGAATTAACATAAATTTATATTACGCCGGAAGCACCGATATGACGTGATAAAGATCGTTTTAAACGTTATCTTTGTTTATATTTAGAACCATCCATAAATTTATTTTGATTATACACTGTGATATTTCGTTTTTTAATAGTTCTATTACTCAATGGTGAAATGCATAAAATATATTAAAAGAAACGGCTTGGCGATAGGCCACAAAATATTTCCAACAACGTTTTAAACGCCAGAGAGAGCGCCTGAGTTTGAACTTTACAAAATAAATAGTCTCTATCTGGCTGAAATATAAATAAATATCACTAATTTCCCATGCCCCACGTACTAGGAATGAGATGTTACTATATCAGAAGTATATTTTTATATACGTTTATTATACGTCTTACAATCAGAAACTTAGTTTCCATCTTAATTGTCATTCTAAGATTGGGCACGTATTGTTGTTCGTCTATACTACGAGTATAAAACAATACATATAGTTTGTCTGTTACATTTGGTGGAGATATTAAAGCACAGATATCGTCGTTGTTATGAATAAATCTCATCTTAGGACAACATTTAGACTATTTAAAAAGTATTAATTTAAAATTTTTGTATCCGTTGCAGGGTAATACGTAATAACGAAATACATGTAACATGCCCTTATCATTCAGATATCAAATGTTAATGACAATAATAGATTTCGTATAAAGCTTAAGATTGGCGAAGATTTTCCAGACAAGAACGTTATTTGCAAAAACACTACACTATTAATTTGTTGTTTACAGAAAAAAATGTTCTTTGATTTTCTTGTGATTCTTTAATGATATTGACGATATATACCCTCCTTTTTTCGAGCCAAGAGTAAGTGGCGATTTATTTTATAGGTTTAATTTTTAAAAAATAATTGCAATTTCAAGCTTTCTGTAATTGCGTGAACCAATTTGTATTAGAGTGCGTGCAGAATACTAGCCACTAGACCTTTAATTTACATGGAATGAAAGTTTAATAGTAATGTATGAAACTTTTACAAGTATAGGGTATTCTTGACGGAAAATGCACCAGGCGAAACATCAGTTTAATTATCAAAATTAGCATGTTTTTAAATGTCACTTATGCCAGCAGACAAAGTAGCGAGCGTAAGCTAGTATTTTATAAAACAGGCGACTTCAAAACGAGATATAGTTACTGTAGATACGGTTGAATTCATTGTATTTGTCTGTTGTATATTTTTTAAGTAAATAAATTACTTGCATATTTTTTGTGCCACTGCAGAAGACTTCCAATTTGTCCTCAATCATTCAGTAGTTTAAATGAGATGCGGAATCTTTTGAACTATCTTACCGGTTCACGATTGTAGAGCGCGTTTATATCTCTTCGCTTCTCTCCTTTCAGTAAATAATTTACAACAGTAAATAACATTAAAGGTTTTGTTATATTGTAGTTAGTTCGTTCAACTAGGATTAATTAATTAAATCGTGGGCTCTTAAATTGATTCATTTTTTGCTTAATCAATTGGTGCGATAGTGAAAGAACAGTATTGACCTTAGTTTTTGTTAAGGTGTTGTGATACGTAGCTCTATGAAAATCTCTTTGTCACTTATCGCTGCGGCTAATCAGTATTTAGTACTAATCTTCTCGAAAAGCACTAACGATACACAATTATAGAACCACGAACGTAATCAATAAGTTGTCAAAGATTATGATATACTAGCTGTGCCAGCGACTTCGTCCGCGTAGAATAGTTATCTTGTATGTCAAAATTTGTTTTTGTGAATCTCATCACTTTACTTATAGCGGTACGGTTTCTTTAGTTAATCTTAAAAAAATAGACAATTATTGTTGTAGACATTTTTTTAGGTTATTTAAAAAGGAATCATTCTTTAATTTATAATTTTTGGGTCTCATGTACCGATTACGTAGCGCACGTAACGGAAACTCTAACAGATAAATAATTTTCCCCGTTTGTTCCACAATTCCCACTGTTTCTTCGCTCTTATTGGTCGCAGCGTGAAGTCTAAAGCCTTCTTCCATAAATGGCTAGAACACCAAAATGATTATATATTTCGAACCAATATGTTATGAGATTAGCGCGTTCAAACCAAAAAAAACTTCAGCTTTATAGTTTTCGTATAGATAATATCGTCGCAGACCGTGCTCTGTTAATTTGCGTATAAATGTATAATAAA